GTTTTATCCACGCAAGAATGTTTAACCGCGAGAACGTCAGTTTGAGCGCTTAATTTTCTTAAGTGGATAAAACGCGACTAACACACCACTGCAATATAACGTTTTATCCACAATCACAGGCCCAAATTATTCCAAACTTATTTAAAAATTAAAGTGACATTTAAACGTCACGCCAAATGTGCTTTCGGTTAAACGTAGTAAGCTGTTACGCGGTGCGCTGGTTACTAACAGTGGAATAAAGTAACTTTATTCCACTAGTGGATAAAGTGGTACTTTATACGCATCTATAGTGTGGAATAAAGTCTCTTTATAGAGTGGTTGTGGATAAAATGTTTTTTTCTTCAAGTTTTAATAATTAATAATTAATTACATACAAAGTGATTTGTCTAGTCGCAATTGTAAATTGTAATTTTTTTCGGTTTTTGACTGAGTGTATTTTTTTCAATGTTATGAATTTATGACAAAGAATCATCGTATCATAAAAGGGTTACGTATTATGATTTTTGTGTATTAAAGTTGTGTTACCAACACTACGTTTTAAAAAAAGAAAAATTCATTTTGAAAGTTTCAGGGGATTTCTTTTGTTCATTTCTAATACATACACATATTTCGATTTTAACAAAAAAGAAATAATGTTTCGTAAAAATTCTAGGTTTTGGTATCCATATTATGTAATAGTATATTACAACTAAGATTTGAACTATTTCATTATTTCGAGGATTTATTTAGGTTATTGGACTGAGACTTGAAATTCGCACCATGGTTTGTATGTGCTATTTTGTTCATAGTCACATTGGTTTAAATTTATTATTCTAACAAATTTGAATGATGTATTGACGTAGTTGCCATGCAAACAAATTGAGTTTTTGACACTAAAGGTTCATAACGTTGGTAATTCTTCATAAATCACTTCCAAACCAAGGCAATTAAAAATTAAAATGTGGAAACGTTGAATTCGTATTTGAGTTTTAAATTAACTCATTTTGTACTACATACCAGGTGAATAAAAAGTATGGAACCAAGCGTTTTTTGTATAAAGTAATTACTTTACGAAAAAAAAAAAATTTGTGCAGTCTAAGGAACTATAAAAATGTGATCGTTTTTTAAGGATAAAATTTTTCGAAATTATTTTGTTTTCGAGTTTTGCAAAAAAAAGATAAATTCAATTAAACTTGTCTTAGATCAATATTTTAATTTTTATAAAATAATTTTTTGACATCTAGTTAACATACAAACTGTCATCCGACATACGCTTACTTGATAGACGGACTTTTTGATCGCCTTGTAATATTTATAACTAAGTAATCAAACAAATTCGTAAGTGACGGCGTCAATTAAACTCCCAATTACCATAAAATATCACACTGCCGCCAACATGGAATTTTCTATTCCTACAAATACCGAACCAATAAACACCTTTTAAATTAATACAGATTGTAACGTACATTTTTCTCGTTTATTTTTTTACGTGTGTTTCATTTTCTCGATCGTGAAATGAATTTAAAAAACTCTGACACCGATTAAATTTTTTAACACTCCCCAGCCAATTCCATCCAAATATCCTCGAACCACACAAACACAAACTGCAACTCGATCCGCTATCAAAAAACGATAATCCCAAAACGTTACCGCGTCATAACCTCCGGTTATAACAGGTGCGGTTTACGTAAGGACTTAAAATCGCCGGTGACAGATGGGGCCCTGACGCAACAACCTCTCGAAGAAATTTTCATTCGACTCGATGTAATCTTTTTTGATTAGGTTTTTAATATTAACATGTCGCAGAAGCCTGTTTTTTTTTCTAAGGAGGTGGTGAGCCGTTTGCTCATTTTTTATTTTACTTGCTTGTAGTTAACTTTTTGTGTTTTTTGACGTTTTCTTATTATGCCTTCGTGCGATCATTAATTATTTCGTTTCACGGTCTATGCGAAAAAATCTATAACACAATGGTACAAAGCGACATTCTTAAATCATTAATTATGACGTAACGAAATGGTGTTAATGGGTGTTTTTATAATATCGATTTCGGCGCGGGTTTATGATCCCAGCGATGCTGAAATGTAATTTGTGAAAATTTGTTTGGCGTTAAGTAATTTAGTGTTTGTTTGTTTGTGCTTTCGGATTCGTCGCTTAATACCTAGCTAATTGAATTTGTGATAAACAAAACGAAGTAGTGAATCGCTTTGTATATTTTCTATCACTTTGCGTTTTTCACCTGTTCACGGTCGCCGTTTGTTTATTTTTAATACAAGGTGTATTACTGGTTGCAGCGAGAAAAGTCAAGGCTGAATTTAAAAGGTGAGCTGATGATAGATGAGGTCTGTAAATTACAAAAATGTGTCATTTGGACCGCTATTGATCGGTTGTTGCATACATTTTTTAGACATATGGGTTTTGTTATGTTTTTAGGGTTCGCGGGATTATTTAAAACTGTAAAGGAAAATTAAATTATGAAACGTTTTCCATGTCAGGCTTTATTATTTTAAGGTTGAGGTTTTGAATCACATTTTGTTGGTGGATGTTTAATTTTAACCAAGGAGAAAAAGGGAAAACAGTGAGCTACTTTGACAGTGGCGTAACATATCAAAGGTGATAAAATATTTTTTAATTTTTTAATACGTTTGTTATTTAGTTAACCATAGGTACATTATGTTACTCATAATTCACACTTATCATAAGTCCCAGTTCTGTCAATATTATTATTGGTTGCCAGGGTTACACCTGTGACTTATCACCATAAGTCACAGATCTGTCATTATAACAAATATAAATTTGATAAGTAGAAAGTGTTTTATTCAAAAAGATCCTAGATAAAATGTTGTATTCTACTCACATATAATGGCTGTTATTGACGAAGACGAAGTTTTTTAATCACCTTAGTGAATAATTGCCATCATTATATGCTCGTAGAATAATAAACTATTATTTTTATTCACAATCACTATAATAATGTGCCAATTATTCCTAACCTATTGGAGATCGACAAATGATTGCCATCGTTCCGAGCCCATCAAATCCCAAAAACAAAATTTGTTAGAAAAACAGATATTTTCTTTTTTAAACACAATGTGATTGTTAATAAAATAGCATACAAACCTTGGTAGGAATTCATTTACTCATCTGGTTATATCTAACCTCGAGGTCACGTTTCTCGGTCAGCTAATATGATACTTTGGTGTAATTAATTATTTCTTAACTCGGTTGTAATATACTATTAATTAAATATCAGAATATTACGTTTCTCGGTGTCCCAAGCTAAAACACAGTATCTACTTTTTAATTAGGTACCTAATGTTTTACTGGACCCAAATATGACAGTTCTTCCGAATGATTGCTCTCCACACATAGTGTTTAACCTAAAAATATCGTTTTGTTAAAGGCAATTTAAGACATGGGTGAAAAAGTCTTTAAAACATAATAAAAAATTTATAGTGTAAGATACTGCGTTTCTGATTAGTTTGTTTTTTATTTTTACAAAATTTTAATCTAAGATTAAAATAAAGTAAATACAATTTCAAGCAATTTCCAGTACAGAAGCAATTAATTAATAATAGTACAGATAAAGGGTGCCCCAATGGGAGATGAATTTTTCAAAAAATTGATTAAAGATTATATTTTTAAATAAAGTTCGAACATTACTATTACACATGGAATACAATTTCTGTCAAATGTTCGCCTCTGCTTCTTTGGTAGGAAAGCATTCTTTTACGCAAGTTTTGGTTATTTTCACATAACGAACGAAAGATAAAATGAGACAAAAAAGACAAAATGTTATTTTGGGACGGTGTCGGCTTCATCGCTTTTCACGTTTTTTTTTTTTGAAAAAACCACAGAAATTACGTCTTAATTCTATTCCTTGGTTCAAGTAGTTTGAACTAATTTGATTCCAAATGAAATTTTAATAATTTTAGTAAAAAAAGTTTTAATGTAATTCAAATTTATGCCGATTGCCTAAACATGTTTCTACGACGGTAATTTATATTTTTTTTTACAATTGGGGAAGCAACTTTGTTACCCTTGTTAGAACTCTTTCAATTCTAAAAGAAAACGACCATAGCAGATATAAACTAACTAAAAGCTCGATTAACAGTTCTTGTTTATATTGTTGTGTAAATTTATGTTGTTATTATCAAATTATAAAAAAATATAGTATTTCACACTTATTTGAGTTATTTCTTCTTAAAAAATGAAGTACAAGCTACCGTTTCTTAGGTATTTTGGTTTTACACTGGGAAAAGGACTTTTGTGCTCTAGTTAGTGTTTTTGACAAAACAATTTTGTTTGTTAATTTTAAACCAATTATTAATGAGTACGTTTTTAAATGAAAGTAAGCATGAAAATAATCCAAAATATGTAAAAAAACTTATTAAAAAAATTTGGTGTGAACATCACACGACTTTCCTTATCCTACTCATTTGGAAAACATCTTTACGCCAATAATTTAGTGTTGGAAATCCTAGTAGCAAACCTAACGTTTGCGTTAGTGCCACCTGCCGGATTACACGCGAAATAGATCATAGTTGTCGCTGGTTCAAGTCTGGGGTGCTTTTTTTTTAGTTCGGTACCCATTAATATTTTTATTTTATCACATTTTACTGTTTAAGGTATGTTTCATGATTCTAAATAATTTTTATCTCTATGAACCGTGAAATTTTGCGGCCGCTTTACGGCAGATTTTTGGTCTTTGCGGCCGAACGGTACGACCGATTTTTACCAATTGTTTCGTGCTGCGTCCCCTTCCTACAAGTAACTTACATTTTAAGTTTCTAGCTTTTATAGTTCTCGAGATATGCTGTTTACAGACAGACAGACGGACACACAGGATAAGGATAGTAAAAATTGTTAGGACAGCCGTCCTGGAATTACCTAGTTTTATCTTGTTTGTGTTAATCATTTTATCTTATTTTTATAAATATGGTTATTAATGAAAAGTCATGCAATAATAATTTGACCGATTAGAGATTTATGGTTAATAAAACTATTAAAGTAATAAAATATTCTTTGGGGAAAACCGTTTTAATTATACGAATTAATTGTTTTGTAAAAAATGAAACAAATTAAAATTAATAGGAAACTTCCCATAAACACAACAAACAAGTAAAATAGAAGAGCTTTAACTCTTTTCCTTGTTCGGGAATTACCCACATCTGCGTCGTCCATTTCTATAGAGTGTACGTTTTCATACTCGATCATGTCTAAGGAGGAAAAAACACATGATTATTATTCAATAGCATTGAAAACATAGTCACAAATTTACCCACAAACGTCACCCACAAAACCGCAACAATTTATTTATTGAATATGTTTTTTGTTGTTTACAGTGCCACCGTTCACATCACAGTCTCTGATGTGAACGAATACGCACCGACTTTCTCCGAACCGAGCTACGTAAGACAAGTCGATGAAGGACGAATCTACAGCGAGATTGTCCGTGTGGAAGCCACTGATCGTGATTGTACGCCGAAATTCGGCGACGTTTGCAAATATGAGATACTCACTTCGGATCAGCCGTTTGTCATCGACATGGATGGAGTTATTCGGAATACAGAGCCATTGGATTATGAGAGGTCGCATAATCACATACTCAGCGTCGTGGCTTACGACTGTGGTGGGTGTTCAAATTAAAAAAAAAATCCATTAATTCCTATAATTCCAACATAATTCCTGTAATTTCAAATTAATTTCCGTAATTCCAAAATAATTCCTGTAATTCCGAATTAAATAGTTACAAGAAAAAGACTTTCCGGACAGCCTGTATAAGTGTTCCTTGCGCAGCACGCTCAAGTACAGCTGCGTCATCAATATGGTACTTTAAATCACTCTTATAATTCTAAAAAGAATTACAGCTATTCCAAAAAGAATTCCAGTAATTCTAAAATAAATTCCAGCAATTCCAAAAAAAAAAAACAGTAATACAGGTATAATTCCAGTAATTCTCAAGTAATTCTAGTAATTCTCAAGTAATTCCAGTAATTCCAAACAATCCGAAGATAATTTCAAACAATTCCAGGCAATTTCCGATTAAATTCCAAAAATTTGTACAACTAATTCTAGAGTGAACGGCTCCTCGGTTCAAGTTTGTTTTCTTTTTTAGGTGACCGGTCGCCAATAAGATTATTGGGTTAATAAAATTATTATGGGGGGGCAATATGATTATTTTATATAGGAAGTGTCAGAACTCGCACCCCCAGAGAAAAATAAAGTAAGATAAGATACCAGGAGCCTGAAAAAAATTCTATCTGTTTTGACATTTATTTTTTAAAATTTGACATTTTTGGATGTCTGTTTAATGATACTGATGATTTTGTATATACAGTGTGTTTCACATAATTTTACGAGGGCTGCGCCTGCAAGATGCAATCAATAATACATATTCCGATAGGAACTCGATTACAAATTTTGAAAAATTGGATAATCTCCTCTAGTTTGTTCACCCTTTCAAAAATTACAACGTTTTTAGTTAGTTAGTGATTAAGATAAATAAACTAGAATCATATTCATGTCATCTCTTGACAGAAGAAATGAAAATTGTTTCTGAAAAACTGCAGTTTATCACTATTAATGAAACAGTGATTAGTTTGACAACTACTGTCAAGGATTTCCAAAAATTAAATAATTAAATGTGTGTTTTTGTATCTAGTGTTTTATGACTTTTGTATATTTGGGTGCGTACATCAGGCGCACTCCTCGTAAAGTTATGTGAAACACCCTGTATTTTTTTTTATAAGTTCTTAGTAAACTTGCAAAAATTTTCCCAATAAAAGCCACAAATAACATTAAATGTAGGATGCAGCTTCCTTTTTTCCTCTTCTAATATAGTAGCAAAAAGCTTGGAAAAATATTTTTCCAACAGAAATAGAGTCAAAGTGCAAAATTTAAACTCTCATAACTTTGATATTTTTATAGATAGAATTTTTTAACATGTTTTCAATGTTCCTGGTATCGACATTTTTCTCTGGGGCCCGAGTTCTGGCGTACCCTGTATACACCATTTCTTTCTATCCTCGATGTATTCGATTATAATATTGTTGTTATTGCCAAACAAATTAACAATACTGTGTACTAAGTTACAATAATAAAAAATTAGAAAGATAATGCTTATAAAATGTAAAAAACACAATTTTGTAATTGGATGTTTGATGTTCATTAGTTTGAGTTACGTTCATTTTACATTTTTAGGTCAAATAATTCTTCCTTGTTTTAAGGTGACAATTGGAAATTGCCATCGTTGAATTGGCATGTTTTATTGCAAACAACTAGAAAATAAATACAAATATAAAGTTTTATTGGTAAAAATTACTGTCGCAATATTATGGAGGTTGCCACAAATCAAATAAAACATTATTGTTTCACTGTAATAAAGTATTTGTTTAAAAGACCATTAATTTATTTTTGATTTTTATTATTTATATCAAAGAGTACTTGATAACGTTATTTCATAAATAAGAGCTTAATATGAATACAATTATTAATAATATCACAGGCAGATTAAAAAAACTTCTGGTGTATTGAACTATAATTTTAAGAGGATTTGCTTTATTTGAGACAAAATTATTTAAGGAAATGAAAGTATTTCTAAACTTATAAAAAAATAATCATTTTGGATCATGCCTTAACATTTTTCGCTTTGCGTAGTATAAACAATAGTTATTTATTATACAAGACGATAAAATTGAATTTTATCTTTGAGGGCAATTTAGCGTTGAAGCGTCAGCCGAGCCGCTAATATGCTCGAAAAGATAATGAAAATTTTATCGTCGTGTACAATACAAAATTTTATTCAATCCTCACTAATTTTGTAGTCAATTTGGTTGATATTTATAAATGTCAAAGTAAAATTCAACAATGAAATCTAATGTCAAAGATTGCTAGCAATTAACAACCGCACATATACAACAATGGATGTATTTTTTTATCATCTAGATTATAAAAGTTCATTTTAACATGAAGAAAAGAGTAGATAAAATTCAATTTTAACATAGAGGATTGAATAAAAAAAAAATTGAGTAGCCTAACGATATTGTAGGTAAGGACAAAAATAAATAATATGTTTGTAATTCATTTCCGTTGTTAATAGAACAAGAAGAAACAGTTTTTTGAGAGTTTTAAGAGTAATTGTACTGAAATTAATATTTTTATATGTTTAAATTTTTATACAGTAATTCTTTGGAATGATGAAAAAAGAAAAGCAAGATTTTTGAAATGATTTTTAAAAATTCTTTTGCTCTAAAAAACATTTGCAAAATTGAATCAAATGAAATTTTTATTTTCACTGTTTGGTGAATTTAAGTTTTCATGTGTAACTTATATTTTGTGATAAAATTGTTTTTTTTTTTAGTAATTAAATAAATGTTTTGTAGCCCATTTTTTTCTTGTAGCATTAGTAATAAGGCTTTCTAAATTATGAATTCCTCCTAAATATTCCCCTACCAGTGGTTACTGGTCAAACTTGGTCATGCACCATATTGTCTTAACATTAAAACAAAAGTATGCAATTACAAATTTCAATAATTTGAATTTATATTATCACTCTGCTGGTATATTTCACCTCAAATTAACATATTCTACAGGGTTGTCCAATATTTATTTCGTTTATACAGGGTATACAGGGTGTTAAAAAATATTGTAAAAATATTTCAGGAGGTAATGGTATAGACCAAAACAAACACAAAAGTCTTAATAAATATCGGTCTGCAAGGTAACGGTTTCGGGGATATCGAAGATTATTTGTTTTTTGAAACATTTATTTGCAATCTGTTCAAACAAAAAAGAGAGGCTTCTAGTAAAAATTCTAACAATTTTCACATTTTTTACTTTGCGGACCCATGTTTATTAAGACTTTGTTTATTTTAGTGTATACTATTACTTCTAAATAGTTCACAATCTTTTTTAACATCCTGTAAATCATATTTATGTTACTTAAAAAAATCTAATGCGAACACGATTGAACTTATTAATAACGATAAAATATATACAATAGGTACAACCTACGACACAATTCCATTTTAGAAACAGCGCCTAAAATGTAAAATTTGTAAAATAAAATATAGTTTTAGAAAATGTATTTAACCCGAGACACTTGGAAAACTAGGACATGAACAAAGTTCTTTTAAATAGTTTCACGTAATGTTTAGATAAAACAACTGAAAATTGACTACTCGGTCATGCAAATTTCATTTATTTAGTTTTATAACAGTTATAGTGAAATTGAATTGTTTAAATGCAAAAATAGTTATTTATTATACAAGACGATAAAGAAATTGTTTATCTACGAGTGACGAAGTCACGAGTAGACTTTTTCACGAGTAGATAAACAATTTTTATCGTCGTGTATAATATTTCGTTTTATTTTGTACTCACCTACCAGAATTTCTTGAATCTAAACAGTAAATAAAAATTACTTTATTTTAGTAGACGATAAAAGACTACTTTATCTACTGTCAGTTTGGTCGATATTTATGAATGTCAAAGTAAAATTCAACAATGAAATCTGATGTCAAAGATCGTTAGCAACCAACAACCGCAGATAAACAACAATGGATGTATTTTTTATCATCTAGGCGATAAAATTTCATTTTAACATGAAGAAAAGAGTAAATAAAATTCAATTTTAACGTAGAGGATTGAATAAAAGTAATTTTTATCTACTGTTCATATTTTATCAACTAATTTCAGTAGATAGGTAAACACGAATTTTAAATAATAACTTTTTTCTATACATACTGATGTTTGCGGAACATAAAAATGTTAGAAAAGGATAGATTAATACAAACGATAAATAAAGAGTTGACATAAATAATACTTAACACATATACATAGTTTAATATTTTTACAGGAATGCGTCAAAGTTTGCCTGTCATGGTCACCATCAAAGTCAACCGTGTCTGCAGACTCGGCTGGCGAGGACTGCCGGAAAGAGTCGATTACGCTCCTACCACCGGCAAACAGGAATTGTTCCCTTCGGCCAGCTTGGAATTGTGCGACGTTCCATGTAACGTGAGAGAATTACGAACGAGGGTTGATTTAGCCACCAGGTATGTAAACCAACGTTATTTTTGTTTACCATTCCAACACTATCGCTTTTTTTATAGACATATCGGTAAGGGTTGCGATCGTGACACGTACAGCGTCCAGTCTCAACGTAAATTATGCGGGGCTTCCCCGTCGGCTATTGATCTACTTCCGAGTCCAGGAGTCGGTGCCGAATGGACGAAACCGTTGATTTCCGACGAGGGACATGAATCGGATCAGATGTTCGAGTTTGACGGTTCTAGCACTGCCGTATCCATTCCGAATTCGGTTTTGGATCATAATCTGCCGTCTACGTTCACGATAGCCACTTGGATGAGACATGGACAACATAATGGACAGGACAAACGGGTCAAGGAACATATTTTGTGTTCGGCTGACGACCATAGTAAGTATTTGGGCGGTAGTGCATTAAAAAAAACTTACCACATGAGAATTTTTATAAAATAATACAGGATTATTAAGCTCAATTATTTGTTTTTGTAAAAAACTAACTATGAATAATGACATAATAAAAAAATACAATCGTTTTTCAGAAATATTTGAGTTTTGCAAAATTCATTGTTTTTGTAAATAGCAACTACTAAAATAAAAATCGACAGATTATGATTAAGGAGTTCCAACTATCTAAATACAACTCAATTTTTGTCAAAAATTGTATTAGTATTGTTATTAAAAAATGCTCAAAATTAAAAAATAAGTTTAGTCTTCAAAAAAAAAAAACGATCATATTTTGTATAGCACTAAGGGCAATTTAATTTTGTATTTTTTTTGCCTGCTTCAATGTAATATTTCAAACTTTTTTTGTTTTTATCTCTCAAAAAGACAAAAAAACGTAGTTTTTTGAATTTGTGGCTTGTTTTTACAAAATTTTGCAAAATAATTGTGTTTTTAGCTAAAAGAGCATTCGAAAAAACAAAAATAAGTTGTCATTTTCGACTCTGTTTAGTAATGTCTTGTAAAAAAAAAATTGACAAAATAGTCAAGTTAAAGCCTAAGAGTTAGATAAAAAATTTTAGTGATTTATTTTAGCACGCTATGGCAAACTCTTTTTTCAGTTTAAAAATCTGCTTGAGCTTTCGAAAAAGAAAAAAATTATATTATTTTCGGCCTAATTCTGTATTTTTTTTTTTGGCTTGCTTTTAACCAATTTTGCAAAATAATTGCGTTTTTAACTTGCTAAAAATGCAAAATTAAAGTAATTTTCGACTTAATATGTTGATTTTTCAGTCCGTTTTAGCGAAATCTCGCAAAAAAACTGAGATTGTGATTTTTTTTTAATCTCAAAAACGTGTTTAAACACTTGAAAAGGGCAAATTTGATTAATTTTTAGATTACTTTTAACGAAATTTTGCGAAATAATTGTGTTTCCAGCTGAAAAGGTATTCGAAAAAGACAAAAATTAATTGTCATTTTCGATTCTGCAAAGTAAAATCTTGTAAAAAAAACAAACAGAACTATTTTTAACCAATTTTCTGATATTTCAACTTTTTTGAATAAATTTAACGAAATAATCAAGTTGGTTGAAAATAAACCCCAAAATTTTGTAATAGCAAGGTAAAATAATTTATTCTAAAATAATTTATGAGGAGTATTATTTATTTTGCTCAATTTGAAAGTATGAAAGCAACTTGTTTATTTAAAAAGGCTTGATTTCACACTTTTCGTCTACCCTGTGTAGTACTTTTTGATGGTGTTGTTGTCCACATCCTCTTCATGCTTAATTTTTGAGTCATGTAGTGCTAAAGATTCAGTTTGTCTTCTCATTTTTAGAAAAAATAAAAATAATAGTGTTGTTTTATGATCGTTACATTTTTGTTTAGAAATGAATCGCCACCACTACGCTCTCTTCGTCCGCAATTGCCGCCTTATCCTCCTCCTCCGTCGCGACTTCTCCGAAGGCGATCTCAACATCTTCCGACCGGCCGAATGGCGTTGGAAAATCCCTCAAGTATGCGACGACCAATGGCACCATTACGCCGTCAATGTCCGTTTCCCCGATATTGAACTGTTCGTCGATGGCCAACTCTTCCGTTCCGAGAAGAAGAATCCGGAAGTTATCGACGATTGGCCACTTCATCCAACTAAAGGCATCAACACGACGTTGACAGTCGGCGCCTGCTGGCAGGGTTCCGACAACAAGATGAAGCACCATCTCAAGGGCTATCTTGCCGGTTTGAGCGTCCTCGTCGGTGAGACGGAAAAACCCGAAGTGTTGAGTTGTTTGCATCAGTGCAAGGAGAGTCTTCAAGTGCCAGCGATGGAATTACTGCAACCAGGAATGGAACTGTTAACGAATTCGGATCTAACGGAAGTTACAGTAGAGGGAGATAATCGTACGAATTTGGAAACTTTGGTGAGGAAGATCGGATATGCGAATAGTCGGGAGTTTCCGACGCCCGGAAGGAGGAATTTGAGGTTGACGACGACGGTTACTTGCGATAACGGCAAGACAGTTAAGGTGCCTGATGCGCAAACTTATGTTATGGTTTTGAGGCCGCAAACGCCATCGATTAATCTCAACGGGACAGGGAATATGGCGAGGAAGTATGAGGACTTTAGGATGGGGGTAAACATTTTTTTTTACTACATTTATTAGCATTAATTTTTATTTTATTATATGGCCCTTAAACGTTTTTAATTTTTTTTATGAAAACAATGTAAAACTGAAAAAATAAACCTCACATTAGAAGTATTGGGAGTTCGAATAATCGTATTTATTTGAAAATTGGTCCATAGCCATTATCTATTAGGGCCTACTGAATGAAAATATTTTCAAGAAGGCGGCACTTTCGAGTATACCGGAAGTCGGTCTCAACTTTCTTATTTTAAATGTAAAGCTATATTTTTACTGCGTCTTTGAATTAATCGGGTTAAAAATTTAGCTGTTTTCGAAATATTTGGAGTTTTTCAAAATTTTCTGAATCTTCACCTTCCACTTTAAAAATCGGTAACTCTGCCATTTTTTTAAATTTTGAATTCGTTTTTTTGGCATTTGGAAAATAAAGCTTAGATCTTTCTTCTGGTGTTTTCAATTTTAAAAACAAAATTAACAAACCCCAAAATCTTAAAGTTAATTTTGTAATAATTTAAATACTATTAACTCAATTTTTCCGAATGAAATACCTCAATTTTTATTTTACTAAATAGAAGAGAATTTAATTCTGCATCGATTTCCCTATACCTACATTTAATAATTTTCAAGTTATAGTGACTTATGGTGACCCGTTTTCGCATAGTTTGCCATGGAAATCAAAAATGTCAAAATTTTCTCTCAATTAAAGGTCAACAGTGAATTATTATTTGGCAAAGAGTGTCAAAATATGGAGAATGAAAGTTACTCGAACTTAGATTTAGTGAATTTATTTTGTGTTTATGGAGAGGGTAACAAAATTATGAGCAAAACATGATGTCGTTCATTAAACAAAAATAAGTTTTTCTCACTTGCTAGCTTTAAATAAATGCAAGTATAAACAACTGAAATTAAAATTCGTAGTTTGGACAATAAAATGCAAGAATAATAATAGATAATACTGGCTAATTGATAATTAATATAACTACGAGTAATACTATGTGATCATTTGTATTGTTAATTAGAGTAGGCTTTATTAGGTTTTTAATTTATATAAAAACGGTGATTATTATGAATTGAAGAATCAAATAAAAAGATTTCGAACGGTAATATTTAATTAGAATACATTTTTTCCTTCAGTTTGCACTAGTTTATCATTTATAAAGAAAAAAACCGCCTACTCTAATCATAAATTTAAATGATCCCATGGTAGAAATTATCAATAATAATTAACAATAATAAAATTTAGGAATATCAAAACATAATAAACACAAAAAAATAAAATTATTGTAATTATAACCAAATCAAACATGCTCAATGTGTTGTCCATTATTTTCAAGACATTTCATAATTCCCTGATGTCGTGGTAGAAGAGTCACATATAATTCTCTAAACGCTCTTGAAAATCTTCTTGTAACTCTCTCAACTAATTCTTCCCTGATCTGCATTGGGGTCGAATATACAAGATTTTTTATGTGGCCCCCCCATAAAAATCTAAGGGTGTTAAATCAGGAGATCTTGGAGACCATCGCTTGGAACCATACCGTCCAATCCAGCTGTCTTCAAATAATACTGCCAACTGTTGGCCTACTTCATATGTTAAATGTGCTGGTGCACCATCCATTTGATACCAACACTGGGTTAAGATCTTGAGAGGCAAATTCACAAAATTTGGGAACTATTCCTCTTAATAAATCCAAATATGTAGTACTGTTTAAATTTTCGTCGTAAATCTCAATTAAAATTTGGTTATCCATTACCATGCAAAATATATTAAAACTGAAATTGTGTTGGTAATGGACTTCTTACATGACGTGGATTATTTTGCGCCCAAAAGTGTAAATTTTGTTGATTTATAATGCCTTCTCTATTAAATTTTGCCTCATCATTATAATAAATATTTTTTTTAGAAACGTTGGATCTTCTTGTATTTTAATTAAAATTGTTTCACAAAATTCGATTCTTCGATTAGACTTTTCTGGCAATAGTGTATGAACAGTTATTAAAGAATATGGATGCATTTTGTGTTTTTTTTTAGAATAACATGGATGGATGTAGCTGACAAACCCATATCTCTTGCAGCTTTTCGGATTGATCCATGGGGATGTGCATGGAAAGAATCCAAAACGTTAATTTCGTTATTTTTTTCACCAGTAATAGGTTTATTTTGTACTCTTCTGGCATTTGCTTGACCAACCTGTACGAAGTTTTGATTTCAATTTTTCAAACTTCCATCTGTTTAAGGGTGGCAAATGTGGATATCTCGTTGAATATACGACACATTCTGTTCACAATTTTTTTTACACTCTCCATAAATACAAAATAAAGTCACTACATCCAAGTTTGAGTAACTTTGATTCTCCATATTTCATTTTTTATTTCCATAGCAAACTATGCGAAAACAGGTGTAACTAGTAATAAATTTTAGCCAGTCTTAACAAAAATTTATCGTAACTTAAAAATTATTAAATGTAGGTATAGGGAATACAGATCGATGCAGAATTAAATTCTCTTCCATTTAGTAAAATAAAAATTGGGGTATTTCATTTGGAAAAATTGAGTTATGGGTACTTGAATTATTACAACAGCATCCTTAAAATTTTGGGGTTTGTTAATTTTCTTTTCAAAATTTGAAAACACCAGAAGAAAGATCTAAGCTTTTTCTTTCAAATGCCAAAAAATGAATTGAAAATTTTATTGCAGTGTTACCGATTTTTAAAGTGGAAGGTACAGATCCAAAAATTTTTGAAAATCTCCAAATATTCCGAAAACAGCTAAATTTAGGTATAGGGAAGGCTGATGAAAACTCCCTTAAAATAACCTGCTTAATCCCAAAACGCATTAAAAATATAGCTTGCCACTTAAAATTAGAAAGTTGAAACCGACTTTCGGTATAACCGGAAGTGCCACCATCTTGAAAATATTTTCATTTAGCAGGACTTAATGGATTATGGCTATGTACCAATGTTAAAATAAATATGATTATTCGAACTCCCAATACTTTTAATGTGAGGAACTGTCCGAACTTTTTGAACAGTTTGTATTTTTTCATATGAAATTCCTCCTGTTAATTAGGTTCGCGTCTTGGCTGACATCCACATATCTGGGGAACAAAAGCTCGACAAATGCTCCTTAACCATCTACCCTAACTTGAACCCGGATCACGAGAATCTCAGCGTTCCGGAAGAAATGTTAAAGAGACTCGGAATGGCAGCTCGAGTATCAAAAGATGGCGTTACCATCACCGGATCCGACATGGTCTTCAACTACCAACAAGTACTCAGACAAATCGTTTACACTAACCGAAAACCCGCCTACTATCTAAATCGGGTGTTCAAATTAACCTGTTCCGAATTGAACGGAAGATTCACCTCAAACGAATACGTGCAAACTGTAAGTATTTAATTTACTTTCGATAGTGTTTAATTTATTAATGTTTTTAGCTGACTGTGATCCATCCCCAACCTAAAGAACCCATCGTTGCTCATGCGACTGTCAATAAACACAATGTTGAATTGCGACCAGCGTCGGTCGTTTCACGCGATTACATTCCTTCAGAACATTTGAATTTGGTTGCAAGTGGAGGTTCGCATGCTGTTACAATAATCGTCGTAGTATGCGTCGGATTTTTGTTGTTTATGATTGTATTGGGGGTGATCAGAATCAGGGCGGCTCATCATAGAAATGCATCGGAGGAGGCGCAGGATAGCGAGATGACTTGGGATGATTCCGCGCTGACAATCACCGTTAATCCGATGGAGGTAAGAAATATTTATACAGGATGATTTTTGTACGGCCTACATTACAAACTTTTCAACTAAATTATTTCAAACATGTATCGAAAAATGCTACGTAAGGGAGCTACATCCCCTCAATGGGTTTTTTCCAATATTTCCGAAACCATTTTAGAAAAAAAAAAATACAAAATTTGCTACAGATGATACCTTTTATACACCTAAACGAATTCAAAGATAAAATGTTGAAATTTTTAATCAGAGGCTTCCTAAACTGGGTGGATTTAAGGTAAAAAGTACTCAAGCTCAAGACTGTCAAGTGTCAAATTTCAAGGCTAATATAATTTTTTGAAAATGTTTATCAAAAAAACAGCTACAACTTAGTTTTTTTTTTAATAGCATGACCACGTTTCACAATGGCAATCGAAAGAACATCAATTTTTATGTAAACTTTTATCATTATGTTCTATACCTATCTCCTTCAGTTTTTGAAATAATTACGAAAAACGGGTTTTAATACTTTATTTTTTCGTTAATCAAGTAGGCGTTGGAAAATGATCAATAATTGTCACATTTTGACCTTTTAATTAGTTTTTTTTTAACTCATTCTTAGCGAATAAACAGTAAAACAATAAATTATCAACCAAGTTGTATTAGACTTATCTGTCAAAACGGCCAAAATAACAGAATAATTCAAAGGACTTGTCTTCAATATTAAATATTCTCGCATGACGATGAATAAATTTTTGCGAATCAGACCACTGATCATTTTCCAAAACCTACTTGATTAACTATAAAAATAAAGAGCTAAAACACGTTTTAGTGATTATGTCGAAAATTGTAAGAGATAGGTTTATAAAAGTTCTTATAAAAATCAATGTTCTTTCGATTGCTATTGAAAAAATAAGGTTATGCTATTTAAAAAAACTGAGTTATAGCTGTTTTTTGATAATTATTTTCAAAAAATAATTTACTCATTTCAAAGGGTTGAAGGGCTGTGATTTTTTGAAATAAATATTTCAACAAAAAATTTGACGTATGTCGAAAACTTTGACAGATAAGTAGCAACAATTGGGTTCGTTTTACTCAGTTTGAGAAGGCGAATTCAAATGTGCAATAAAAATTAGCATTTTCTATTTCAAATTCCAAAGTTGGCGCCAATTTTTCGTAGTTCCGGTAGTACAGCCATTTCATTAATTTAGTTAAATTAAGAATTGGGGATTTTGGTCGCGTACAAAATTTCAAAGCTGTAGCTAAATTAGAAGTTAAAAAATTTGTAATATAGGTTCTACAAAAATCACCCCGTATAGAGTGTGTTATACATAAAATTTGTTTAGTTTTGTTATAATGGAGATTTAAAGTTTTTCTAGCTATTTATAGTAATTGAAATTATTAAAATATGATTTTTCAAGTAAAAAGGCAACAAAATACTCGTATAATGAAGTTGTAGTTTCTTGGTTCACTCTCCTAAATGTCGAGAAAGATATAACTTTTAACATAATTTCTCTTTTAATGTTTCATTGATAAAAGAATGAGAACACCATCAAAGTGTATTTATTGGACATATTTACTAGACTTTCTTAATAACCAAACGAAATATATTTCGGAAATGGCTTTTTTTATTTTAAACTTTATAAATTATGTAATTACTAAAATGTCACAACTCACTACATCAATAAACATTAGTGATAAATGACCCTATGGAATACAATACATAATTTAATTGGGTTTATTGGCCATCCGCGGTAATAGATTATGAAATAATGGAACGAAAAATTAACTAGAGTATTTCATTGGCAATCGTAAAATTTAGTGAGCTTTCAATGAATTAACATTAAATATTGTGTGTTTGTGTGGTGCTAAATAACTCGTTATTTTGAATCGTCGTTGAACTTGTACAGGGTGTCTCAAAATTGGGGGCCGGCGCAAAAATAAATATTTCTAATTGATTAGTGCAAACAATAGAGGATCATATAGACTTTAATTTGATGCTTTAATATTGTTCAACATTTGTAGCGTTTGTCAGTGAGACTCTAAAAATAAAATTTGGGATTTTTTTTAATGAAATGGAATCTTTTCTAGATGATAAAATTTTGTTAGAATTCGTTTTTTATTCTATCAAATAAAACACGAATTAATTATGCACATTTTATTTTGTCTTCTTACTCTGACAAGGGCTAAGGCAAGACTAACTCTAGATTACGATTTTTATCGTATCCAAAATTGATAATTCCTCTACTTTCCCACGAAGATGCACACTTAAATACTATTTACAATGTTTTTTTTTTTTTTGGTTAATAACAATTTCTTGATTTTTTCTAATAGTAACTGTGAAAATTGAATAATGTAAAAGTTGATAGATTTTGAGTAATTATCATTTTAATATTGAGAATTGGGAATTCTGGTAATTTATGGCCAAGTTTGGGATGATTTATGTATTAACAATAGAGCGGAGACTTCACAATACGTCATAAATGTCATTACGGACCTTGTTCTTTTGTCAAGAAATTCTGACCCAATCACCAATTACCGCAAACCCCCCCATAAATTATTCAAGGTTTCAGATTTTTAATATTAAAATGTTAATTATTCAAAACCTATCAACTTTATCATTATTCTATTTTCAGAAATACCACAGAAAAAAATCAAAGAATTTTATAATGTGCAACTGAATTGATTTTTTTTTCTCTAAATTTAGTTTTTACTGCCATACGCAAAAATATTTTGAACAATGTCAAAACATCAAATTAAAATGTATTTAATCCTCCACCGTATTCACTATTAAAATTCTTTTTTAATCAATTAGAAATATGTATTTTTGCGCCGGCCCTAAAACACCCTGTATAATACAATTTACATTTTATAATTAAAAAATTATATATCGATTTATTTGTGCTATAAAATTTAATAACGCATGATTATTGTTTTTTTTTGCAAGTTATTTTTTTATGCATTGATACAGTTATCTAAGATACCGCAGCTTAATTAATTATTATCAATTTGTCAAAGTTTAGCAGTTTTCATCTCTTAAGACTTTTATAACATTTTTTTTTCATAGAAAGAAATTGTGTATGTAGTTAACTTTTTCCGGATAAGTTGTGAAACACGCTGTATATAAGATTAGGAGAAACTATTGTTATTTCTATTTTTTTTAAATATAATATATAAATTATAATAATATTATAGTAGTACATTATATTATAAGCGTGGAGGGAGAAACAACTGGAGGGAGCATAAGCACTGCAAACGTGCTTCTTGAGCAAACACCTTTTATGATCCTTTTCGAAGCTTTTCCCCCACTACCAATTTGGATGCAGTGGTGTAGATAATGTTTCTATACATTCAGTTAACTAAATAACTAAATAAACCACCGACTAACATTAACAATTAACACTAATACTTAAACTAGGCAGATTCTTTTAAAAAACTGTGTAAAACATAGTGAATAAATACAAAAATCAAAAGACAACGTGGAAAACACGGACACAATGAGACGCCTATGGTATCAGCTGATTCGAAAAACAACTTTTGACATGCGCACTGATTACACATTTAAGCGGGAGATTCAAAATAGGTCGTAAAAGGTGTTTGCAGCTCGACCAAGATCGTAGCATTGCCGGTATAGGGCACGCTCTCTCCAGTTGTTTCTCCCTCCACGATTATAAGTGATAGAAATGCATCATTATACGCGAGTGAGAATTTTGACCGACGAGTGCGCTTGCGCACGAGTGGGACACTTCTCACGAGTTTCATAATGACATTTCGATCATGTGTGATATGCGACGTTTTATCTCACAGGTGCAACATCCAAAAAATGAAGTTTCATTCAAGTAAAATATTCACCTATAAAAATATAATAGTAAATATAATATGATATTCAAATTTACTCACTTGTGAGTACTTTATCCCACTTGTTTCTATCATCGAAAACAATGGTCTAAGGTAGCTCAAAAACTCAACCTGTAAGATAAAATATAATATTTTTTAAAAAAATTTTTGCTAGTGCAAACGATAGAGGATTTCAATTTGATGCTTTAATATTGTTCAAATTTTTTAGCATTTGTCATTGGGACTCTAAAAATCAAATTTGGAATTATTATTTTTTTAAGTAATTGTTATCTTTTCTAGATGATAAAATTTCTTGATTTTTTCTAATGCTAACTGTGAAAACTAAATATTGTAAAAGTTGATAGATTTTGAGTAATTATCATTTTCATATTGAAAATTGGGAATTCTGGTAATTTACAGTCACGTATGAGATGATGTGCTGCTATCATGTAGAAAATAGTCGAGTTAATTGAATTTTTTTCCTCCGAATTTAATTTTTAAGGTCTCACTGCCATACGCTAAAAATTTTGTACCACCAAAACATCAAATTTAAGTATATTTAATCCTCTATCGTGTACACTAAAACTTGGACATCCTGTACTACTTTTGGCATATTTCCAGAACGCCGAACGCAAATTGGAAGGTAACTCTGCCGATTTCAGTGAAAGCGATCAATCAGATTCGGACAGTTCATCGGACGACGACAATATTGACGGTCCGTGCCGAATTCCCGACTCTTCAGACGACGAGGAAGAGCAACCGGCTCGTAGTCGTAAACACGACTATCAAAATATCAGCCAACTAGAATGGGACCATTCTACGATGTAAAAAAAAATTCCATCTTCAACAAGAGGGGAGGTGAGATGTTTCAGTGGTGAGTTTTATTTTTAATTCGCACCAATTGAAATGTCACGGTTCGGAGGCGGTGGTATATATATATTATTAAACATAAAATCTATACGCAAAGGTTTGAGCCGTATAAGCAAAGCCTTTTCGTACGAAAAAAATATAATATATATTTCGCGGGGCGGTCGTAAAACTATCAAAAAGGGGAGTTTTACGAACGTGTCGCGATTGATATCAATAATAATCGTCCATAATGTTAGAGTTATACAAGTTGTATATCCCTTTCACTTAGCTATTAGTATAAAAAAAAGAAAAGAAACAGCTAGGTTAAGGGTGTTGAGGTAGTTTCAACGGATTCGTTGGAAATATCAAACACCCTGTATTGATATAAATAGCTATTTCCTTCATCCTTTCGCTTGGAATCGCCTGTTTGTTTTCGGTTATTTAAGGGCAGCCATATTGTTTTTAACACGTAGTTATAAATGTAAGTTTTACGTTTTTAAGATAAGAAAGTCTTTCGATCTTCAATTCGAAGCTTCGACAATAATTCAGCTTGTTTCATTTATGTAACTCAGTGAGGTGGCAGCAGCTTTATCTAAACCGAAAGACTTTCTTCCAATTTTTTTTTAAATTATTGACCTAACTTTTAAGGCCTAGGTTAAAACACAAGTATTTTTTTTTCCTATTTTTTATTGTATTAATTAACCTAAACGCTTTATTTTGTACTTACGTAGTTTTTAATCACTCACTTCACTCGAACTATTCCTCGTATTGTCATATCAAATTTTGTACACTGTTTTTTCGAATATTTACGTTCTCAACGCAACAACAACAAAAAATGAATTTTATTTGATTTTAGAATCGATGTTTGTGGACTCTCTCGCACAAGTTTCATGTCTCTAAAATAATAAAACAAAAAAGGTGTACATAAGGTTTTGCAGCTAAATAGTATTTTTTTGTATCGTAGACGATGGGTACTTAACGAATAAATAAAATGGTTTATTTGTTACAAGAATACGCGGTAAATTTAATTAAAAGGATGCAATAGTAGTTATGTATAAAAGATGAACAAATCTATATCATATTTGCAATATGTAAGTGTATTGTTTTTTGTCGCCATTTTGTTTATACGTGTTGGCATCTTAGAATAGTAGCTGTGATGTTGATGAAAAAATGAGAATGTTTTAGTAAAAAAAAAGCACTATTAGGTTTCGGTTAATTTGTTTCCGGCCGTTCGACGATTGAAATTGTGCGATTTTCTGGAATTTTTATTCAAAAAAAAAAAATCTCAAAAGTTGTATATTTGATTGTAGAAAGTGTAATTATAGTAGGCGGTGTGTCCGAAAATCGCACTTGTTTTTTTAAGTCGAACTCAGCTGTCAGATGACTATTGAAAAAGTAATAACACTATTTTTGACAAGTACGTAACAAAACGTTACATTCCATGCGTATATTTGTAATCTTTGTATCTTTAACAGTTACGAGCTTTGTTGTGTGTTTACAAATCAGAAATCAAATAATCCGAATATCTTTAGGTGTCATACCACAATAATTATGTAATACATAAATGTATAATAAATAACAAATATATCCAAGACTTTATTTTATCAAACATATCCCTCACATAGCTGACATTTTATGTAATACATCAAAACAACCCGTCCCTGTAAGACAGGGTTTTCCGACCATCAAACAACTGGAGGGATTTGTCAAGTTGTCTCTTTTTCCTCCAATGGTAGTGTTGCGAAGAAAAGTGAGCGACGATTCAAACGTCATCTGTTGGAAAGGTGACGCACTATTCTCCATACCTTTTCGACTCAAAGGCTCAAAAGTCCCATTAAACGTCATATAATCAGCAATCAACAACAGATGGCGCGGATCGACCTTAATCCCATACACATTAAACACATCCTGGACTTCTTTCACTATAATTTTCATGGCGGCTTCAATTCCGTATGTTTCGGCCATCTTGTGTATATCATTACAATACAATCGGTTCAAATCCAAGACGGCATGGTGTTTTGACATTTCTAGAATATTTATACCATCGGTGCGCAGCATCAAAACGTTATTTTTCATATAGGTGATGGCCCTTTTAATGCTGGGAGTTTCCCACAGCACGGATTTCGCAGCGACATCACGCAAGATGGCAGTCAAGTCAAGTTTTTTGAATTCGAGCGGGAGACCGAATGTAATTTCGCACCATTGGTGTTTTTTCGTGTCGTAGATGTAGTTTTGAGCAAAACTGTAACTTTCGACCACAACTTCGTTCTCTTTTTGGTCTACAGGTGGCGGTAGTGTTTTGGTTTCTTCGGTTTCCGAGTCTTCACGTTCAGATTCTTCCGGTTCTTGGTCGTCGTGGACTTGTTTGAATTTGTTACCGGTTTTTGCATCTTCAACGTCTTCAGGTTCTTCGTCTGAACTATCTTCGTTTGCGTTTAGTTCGTTGTTTCCTTCATCATTGTCACCATTGGTGTTTGCGGCTACTTGACGTTTTTCCTCCTCCATCATTACTCTAAAAGACAAAAAATTGGTTTTGGGGGCGCACAATTCTCACATACTTACAAATTTGAGGTCACTTTTGATAATTTCCTTATAGCTGAGAACATTTCCCCGAAAAATTTTCTCGTCATATGTTTCAAAATGTACTTAGGTCCGACGTAAAAATCATTTTTGTAGTATTTCCTGGGTAAAAACTGAAACCTCAAAGTATATCTCTGTTGCCTAATCGGCTCAACCGTCAATTCAACAGTAACATCAACTTTTTCCAAAACATCAGCAACCACGACTCTCGTCAACATTTTCCTTAAATTGTCCGCCTTCTCTTCCAGATTTTCCACAGGTAAGAATGGTATTTCCATCGACGGCGTTTTGATGTTTTTCGATGCCATCATCAAGATTTCTCTCAGACGTGGTATACCCAAAGTGACGTTCATTTCACCTCTACCGGCGAAATGGAACGTATTTAAGGTCATCTGAGTCGAAGGTTCACCGATAGATTGCGCTGCTAGAAGACCTACAGGTTCGCCCGGAGCACACAATGAACGCATTGCTTTGAGTTTTAGCATGTTTTGGAATTGTCTGGTTTGTTTTTTGTTCGTGGATTGGTAAGTGTTCATAAGCTCTTCGAGTTTTTCGTTGAGGGAACCGAAGTGATGGTCCGATTGGTAGATGGAATTGACAGGGTCAGGGCATGGGATGCATTGTTGACGAAAGCTAAAGCAAAAATATGTAATGTCAAAACAGTTAAGAAAAAAAAATATCTAACCCTTCTTTGATATCTTCGTCGGCTTTTTTCCACAATTTGGTCATTTCTTTAGAACCAAAATCTGTACCTTTGACTTTAGCACGGACCACGGATGAAAATAGAGAAAATGGACTTTTTCGTTCTCTCTGTAATGGATGTCCGAATTTTTCACACCATTCAGTCAACTACAAACACATAATTATAGCAAAATAAAAGTTTAGATCGATGGATCTTACTTGTTGTTTGTGAGCTTTAACCGACTTCTGATGTTCATCTTTTAACATTTTCAGTGCTTTCTTATCAATCATAACCTTACTGTTATCAGCCAAGAAAGGCAACTGTTTCGTATTGAGAAATTGCAATTTTGAAATATCCATTCCATCTTCGCCATACAGGAACTTTAATTTAATTTCTTACTTTTTGTTTGTAATAAATACAATTGAAGGGGTGAGTGGATAAAGGTGTCGATATTTGGAGTTATAAGCATTTTAATACAATTTGCAGGTACTTTTTTCCAATTTGTTTTTGGTAAACAAAATCACATGATATATAAAGGCCTATGTGAATACTGTTTCCTTGTTATAAGAAAACTTAGGTAATTGTATTTTTTATAGATTTTTTAACGATCAAATGTACACTCAGAAAAGTTGAAAATGACGTGTCCATAAACCGACCCTCATTATTTGGGTCCTCCTCCCTAACCGCAGTTATAAACTATCTACGAGGGGAAAATAATAAAAATGGTTTTGCATGTAGCCTCAACATTTCTTTTAAGTAAATCATGTCATGGGATTTTATTTCATTAATTATAATTATTATAATTAAGGATGTGTAAAATATGTCATACGGTGTTTTATACTGAAACGAACAAATTTGTAACTTTAAAACGTCATTATTCTGTCTCAATGGATCGAAAAGTAAATTTTCTCTTGTTTTTGGGATTTTTTTTCCTCTTTTTAAGTTTCATCACAATGACGGTATTATTTTTTCGACAAAAATGTAACTTCGACAATTAATTATTGTAACCGGTATTAGCGGCAAAACAATAAAATGCTGCCTGATCTAAATCCAATAGAAATTTTATAGGGCAATATAGTTCGCGACTGGAGAAATTTTCAACCCAAAGTTCGCGAACGAAATTTAAAATAAAAAAATTGGCGCAGCAAGTTAATAACGTTTGGGACCATTTCCGCTACTCACAAATTTGCCAAAATTTGGTGGATAGTATGCATGGACGACTTCATGAATGTTTAGCCAACAATAGATATCATACACATTACCGATATTAATTAGTGATTATAATAAATAAAATATTTGTAAAATCTATAATTTTTGTCTTTTATTGAAATAAATAAAAATTAATTATTTAAATTTAAACAATTTTTGTCTTTAATTATAATAATTCTTAATAAAATAATATCTCATGCTTTGAAGTTTTATTATTTTTCATGAATAAGAGCAACAAATCTTTTCAGAATGTTATTGTTTTGTCGATAATACCAATTATAATAATTAATTAATTAATTGTCAAAGTTACAATTCTGTCAAAAAAATAAAACCGCCATTATGATGGGACTTAGAAAGCAGAGAAAAATTTCAAAAACAAAAAAAAATACTTGTCTTTCCACTGAGACAGAATAATGACGTTTTAAAATTACAAATTTGCTCGTTTCAGTATAACACATCGTGTAACACACTTTACACACATTTAATTATAATAACTATCATTCATGAAATAATATCACCTGACAAGATTTACTTAAAAGAAATGTTGAGGCTAAATGCAAAAGCATTTTTATTACTTTCTCCTCGCAGATGGTTTATAACTGCGGTTAGGTAGGAGGACCCAAATAATGAGGGTCGGTTTATGGACACGTCATTTTCAACTTTTCTGAGTGTACATGACCCCTTCATTCACTATAATGCATTAGTTTATATTATTAAAAAATTGATAAAAGTGTTATGTACCAAAAAACAAGCTTTATTTTCCAATATAAACTTTGTGATAAATATTGCTCTATAAAAATATTTCAAGTTTAACAAAACATTTATAAATGAAATTCAAACGACACAATAAAAAAAAGTTAACTTTATGCTGCTAATTTAAAAGATTTTGTTTTCTTGTAATTTTGAAGCTAGTTCATTGACTTTTCGAAAACGGTTTTCCATATTAACACCATTTTTCAATAAGAGACGGAATTAACTTGAAATATTTAGACAAAAATACACAGAAAAGTCACCAAATTAAGTGAAAAATAATGAATTTTGCTTGTTTAAATCACGTTTTTTTGTAAGATTCTGTTAAAACATATTGAAAAAGTATCAAATTGGGTTGAAAATGACCTTTTTTTATGATTTTTTGGGCATTTTAGCACGTTCTTCAATTAAAAATTTACTAAATTATTTCGTCACAAATCGCTAAATTTACTCAAAAATGGTGTTGTTTTTACTTCTTTAAATTGTGCTAAAAAAATTTGTTCAAAAATAATACCAATTTTTCGTTTTGGGACGTTTTTTAGTCAGAATCGCAATTGTTTTGAAAATTTGCATCGAAAATGAGGTGAAAAATTAATGAACTATTACGAAACTAAAATAATTTTTGCTTCTTTGGAGAGTTGAAAAATCATCTGGTTGCTTTTCCAAACGTTTTAACAGATTTTTCAATCAAAAGCACAAAACCTCGTCAAAAATAAGCCGAAAAATCACATAATTAATTCGAAAATGATGTTATTTTTGCTTTTTTCAAACACTTAGTTGCATTTTTAAATCTAAAACAAAGTTTTTTCTTTAATTTTTGTTATAGAACATACCCAAAAATTAATACATATACCAGACTAAATAAAAAACAACATAATTTATGCTCTTTTCGAGCGTTTTAAAACATTTTTCAATAAAAACGCAATTATTTCGCAAAATTTTGTCAATACGCCGGAAAGTAATTAAATTAAGTAAAAATAGTGTTATTTGTGATTTTTTAAACATTGTTTTATTATTATTTATTTAAACATATTTTAACGCCGTTATCCACTGTTTATTCAACAATCCAAGTTGTACATAACGCCTTTAGCATTTGGTAATTTCATTCCTAATAGAAACCAACACTTAAAAGTCTTTTTCAATAAAAGAATATTGCGAAAAAAATTGTTTTAAAAGAAAATACCAGTTTTCAAAAAAATGTTGCATAACACCTTTATCCACTCACCCCATTTTAAAGTAAGGCCTTTTATAAGTAAAAACAAACAATTGTTTTTAAACTTACCTGAATAACACTCTTGTCACTATCCCGAACTGTCAAGTCATATCCAACCGTTAAACCTTCCAAGTGTTTAATTAGACACCTCTGTAGATACCCACTACGACTTGTTTTGACAGCTGTATCAATCAAACCTTCACGACCTGCCATACAATGAAAGAAAAACTCTTGTGGCTGTATCCCTGTCATAAATCTGCCATCAATAAAACCACCAGCACGTGGTGCAAACTCAAAAATCGGAAAACTAGGCAAAGACTTGCCACTTATCATAGTCGGGGGTCGTTTACCCTCCAACTCAATCTGACCCAAAAGACACGAAATCTGCATAGTATTTACGGTGGTACCTTTAGCACCCGATTGTACCATCAATTGAAGATTATTGTCTGGAAATTTCAACAGTAAACCCGCCGGTAAACAAGTCCTAGAAAAAAACAATTATGAATAGAAGTGACAATATCATAAAACATCTCCCTAACTTATTAATGTCATTTGTGAACGAATCCAGAGCGATTTTGTATTGCCGGTCCACAGTTGCTCTCCATTTTGGGTTTGTTACGATGTTTTCTCGGTTTTTTTCGACGATTTCCTCGATTGGGGTGTCGTGGGGCATGTCGAGCGCGGTCGTAATCACATCAAGACCTACACCAATTAGAAACTGAGTCTTTTATTTAATTAAATTTAAAATCAAAGTGGCCTCTAACTTAAATTAAGTTGGCAATGTTTAATGATGAAAATACAAAAAAATGTGAGTGAGACTTGTCAATTTTTATATAGCGAGATTGTGAGAAAATAGTATATTAAATAACGTAAGGCAAGTTTTGTGGAACAAGTTCAGGTTTATGAAACGAACAGCAAAGCGCACTTTTTTAACATAAAAGTCAATTTTTCAAAATTTAGGAACTTTTGCTCTATAAGGTTATGGTTGGTAATAAATGTCACAATGTCTGAAAGTTCGATTTTCGAAGTGTCAAGTCTCGAACATTTTTCAAGATTTTGTTGAATTAACAATGAATACTGCAAATATTTCATGCACACTACCTGAAATACGAGAAAACGCTCAGAACGCCGCTGAATATCACCATTACAAAACTCTAGAAAGTAAATTGCACCCAAATTGGTGTTGAAATGACTCATTAAAGCATCGGTTTTGGTCATGGGCGTCGTTTGAAGGGAGCAAGGTGGGGTAAGTGCCCCCCCCCTGGAAGTTACCCTAAAACATTTTTTCGGAATAAGTTTTATTCCGTTAGCGGTAAACTATTTTTTTCCAATTGTGTTGTGAACAGCAACCATTGTGATATGTCATTTTAGTTGTCAAATGTGTTTAATTTTATCACTAGTTACAAAATATGGCATTATTTTATCACTAGTGTTAAAAAGTGTGATAAAGAAAACATATAACACTATTTTCATGGCAACGGTCCAACACTAGTATGATTTTGGAAAATTATTGAAATCACTGATTTTAAATTCGAATTTATGCTTTTCACTACCAAACTGGAAAAAATCTTGTATAAAACACGATTCAAAATGGCTGTTTTGTGCACACGTCTAGTAAAAAACACGCTCATTTTGCAACTTGGTTTTTTTTTAATTTTTTTAGTAACATCTTTTAACTTTTTTATCGTAGACGATTTTGGTTGGGAAAAACAAAATTTAAAACTATCATTTCTTTAATTTTTTTTATTTCTATTGATTATTGTTTTCTTGAATGTATTTTGAAAGAGTTTTTATTTTATGTTTTGATTTCCAAGTGTTACATTTTTCTTAGTATTTATTAGTTCATGTTATTTACTGATTTGTGTTATTTTATGCTTAACTTTTATAATTTTTATATTTTTTTAACTTTTACACTTTTATACTCCAATTTATGATTTTAGAGATTCCTGTCTTATGGTTTCATTTATAATTTCCGTTAGAAAAAAATATGGTTTTATGTTCCTATTTTGTATAACATGTTTGTAATAAAATATGTATTTTTTAAAAGCGATGAGGTTGCCCCTTTCTAAAAAAATTGTAACGACGCCCATGGTTTTGGTATTGAAATAAGCTTTCTTTCAGACGCAAAATAGACAAAAATCTTTTGGAAATACTGAATTATTCGGAAATGAATGACACTTTACTACAAAAATTTCAAATTTATGTCCTTGAAGAAAACAGAAATCACGTAATTTCAAAGTCAGAGGCCACTTTAATGAGAAATTTAATTATTTCTACTTTACCGATTTCTCGCAATTCGTCGATGATTTCGCGCCGCCTCTCGTCCGCTTTCTTCACCGTCAAAATATCATGAACGCCCAGTGTAAAGCCCTCCTTTTGCAGAAACCTCGTAAACAACTTCGCCAATGCGCTTAAAAGACCTGTTGCATAAATCGCCCCATACAATTCATACATGCAGTGAATGAGACCATAGGGCGTGGCTCCGTAATGCGTCTTGTCCAACACGCCCACTAACAATTCCCCACCTCGTATCACAACTTCAGCTTCGCTCATCGTATTGGAATTTATGAAACGGGTTCCGCCCCCTTTCCATTTTCGGGCCGGGGATGTTTGCCACGCCTACTTAATTACTTTTAATAACTAGAAAGTAAATAGTAACCAGTGTTGCCAGGTGTAGTGCAATTTCACCAGATCTGATGATTTTTTGGGAATGAAAAAAACTGTTTTTCGGGTATTTTTTACGTTGTCAACCAGAAACTTGATTATTTCGTCAAATTTTTTCAAAAAAGTCGGAAAACCACCAAATTGGTTAAAAATAGTACTGTTTGTTTTTTTTTATAAGATTTTACTTGACAGGATCGAAAATGACAATTTATTCAATTTTTTTTTTATACTTTTTCAGTTAAAAACACAATTATTCCGCAAAATTTCGTTAAAAACAAAATTTAACAAATTCGACTAAAAACAGCGTTATTTCTGTTCTTTTCAAGTGCTTAAGCAGGTTGTTGAGATAAAAAATTCTAAAAATTTCGTTGAAGCAGGCAAAAAAATTACAAAATTAAATCTAAATTGATATTATCTTTAGCTTGTTTGCAAGACTTACTTTTTTGCGAAATCTTGTCCAAACACGCTTAAAAATCACAAAAACAATTGATATTGATGTTATTTTGTTTTACTCGATTTAACTGGTTTTTGAGCAAAATAAAACAAAAATAAGTCGATAATGTTTTTAAGCACGTTTTTGTACTACAATCTGTTTTTTTGCGAGATTTCGCTAAAACGGACTGAAAAATCATCATAATAAGTCGAAAATTACATTAATTTTGCATTTCTTGAAAGTTTTAGCATGTTTGCCATAGCATGTCAAAAATCACTTAATATTTTTACCTAAGTTTTAGACTTTAACTTGACTATTTCGCCAAATTTTCTCGAAGAAAAAGTAATCTAAAATCACCAAATTAGTTGAAAATTCTATGTTTTTTTTACAATATACTGCTAAACAGAGTCGAAAATGACAACTTATTTTTGTTTTTTTCGAATGCTTTTTCAGCTAAGAACACAATTATTTTGCAAAATTTTGACAAAAACAAGCCACAAATTCAAGAAAATAGCCCAAAGACGACATTTTTTGTCTTTTTCGAGTATTTAAGGATGTTTTTGAGCGATAAAAACACAATAAGTTCGAAACATTGCATTGAAACACTGTAATAAGAGGCTAAAAAATTACAAAATTAAATCGAAGTTGATATCATTTTTTAGCTTTTAGCTTTTAGCCCCACTTACGTCGTTTCCAAACCCGAGGTTCATTTATTCTGCAAAATCTTCTCCAGAAAAAATCACAAAAAGGATTAACATTGATGTTATTTTGTTTGTTACACTCGATTTACCTGTTTTTTGAGCAAAATGAAGACAAAAATAAGCTGAGAAACCACAAAATTTGGCCGAAAATGCTTTTGAATGCGTTTTCTAAAATTTCAGGTATTTTGCTGGATGTCGCTATAACAAACTAAAAAATCAAGAAATTAAGTCTAAAATTATATTATTTTTGAATTTTTTCGCACGTTTTTCAGCTAGAAACACAATTATTTCGCAAAATTTTGTTGAAAACTAGCCGATAAATCACAGAATTAGGCCGAAAAGCATGTCATTTTTGCTTTTTTCAAAAGTTTAAGCAAATTTTTAAGCGAGATTTTGCCAAACAAATCGTAAAAGCTTTTTAAAACTTTTTACCAAAATTGAGTCAGACCATCCATTCATGAGATACAGGGTGTTCTAATAAAAACGATCCAGAAAGAATTTGCAAAAAAAATAAAACAGGTTAATTTTGTTTTTAAAAAAGGCATTTTTTGACACAATTTCAACTTTTCCCACCTCAATTTCGAAATTTCAAATGACACCGATTCACTTGCGACAGATCAAACAAATCGTAATCTGGTGAAATTTTGTCAAATTTTTCAACTCGGATCTGGTGAATTTTATGTTTTTGACTTGGCAACACTGATAGTAACTTACCTCAGCGCTGATTTTCGCCGTCGCTGTCAAATTGATACGTACATGGCCTTCTGGTATTATATTAATAATGACAGTTGACAGAATTTGTTTGCCCGACCACAATTGACACGGTTTGAGTATTGCAGGTGGTAATAGAATAATTTTACCGGTTTTGTTTGCTAAAGCTTGAAAAACAAAATGTTTGTAATCAATTTCGTTAAAAAACCGTCCTCGAAGTGATAATTTCACGCCGGCGATCATATGATCCTGGATGAGGCCACTTAATGGAGTGCCATCTTTCGGTACAAGATATTGGTTACAAACGTTGACTAAATTGTAAGCTTCGCTTCTTGCCAATTCATTTTGTGGGAAATGTGCATTCATTTCGTCGCCATCAAAGTCAGCATTGTATGCTTTACAATTGGCATAATGCAATCTGAATGTCTTCTCACCTTTTAAAACTCGCGCCGTATGCGCCATTATACTTGGCTTGTGTAAAGTCGGCTGTCGATTCAACAAAAGAATATCGCCATTACACAAATGTCTATGCACACGTTTGACACCTCGGAAACCCACAATCTTATCAGGCGTCAAAAGTCGTTTCAATATACTCTCTTGTTGTGTGGTATTACTTGTGTTTATCCGTTTTATTGTCCCATCCTCGTATTCCACCATGACAGCTCCCGGATGCACATCCGGTCCATTCATTATCATTTTACGTAATTCTTCGACGTTCCATGACGTCACTGGTACTGGATACGTCAAATGTTTAGCAAAAGCTTCCGGAATTCCGATTTCGTCAATGTTGAGATTTGGATCGGGAGTAATAACAGTCCGAGCTGAAAAATTGACACGTTTTCCCATCATGTGCATGCGAATAATTCCATTTTTTTTCTCGATGATTTGTTTCAAGCCACAGACGTTTGCGTTACGGATGGTACTGCTATCGATGAGGGAGTCGACCTCGCTTTGGAGGGATTCCCAAGCGAGGTTAAGTTTTTCGATGGGAGAGTCGCCTTTGGATACGTTGTAAGCGCCCTGAAATAAAAGTGGTATAAAAGTGATACGCCACTGGGATTTATGTCAAAGGTAATTGGAAAATGATACGCCACTGACTTATTTTAATGCTAAAGTGGGGTAAAAGCTAAAAGTACACACGTGGGCGTGTATATTGTCGTATCAACAAGAAATTACTCCCTAGGATTTTGGGGATATTTGTATATCGTAACTTTTCATTCATTTCTATTAGAACACCCTGTATCTCATGAATGGATGGTCTGATTCAATTTTGGTAAAAAGTTTTGAAAACCTTGCTAAAATAGCTTTCATTTGATGTGCCACAAGTAGGGTAGTGCCATTAAAATTTTTAAAGTTGGGGTGCGTGGGGTTTAAGGGGTTACTGAGGGTGCTTTAAAAATTACGTCAAAAAATGTCCTCCTCGGAAACAAAATCGACCTGTTTCGGCGTTTTTGCAAAGTCTTTTTAGTTTCTGAGATATTCGGGGTGGTTCGTTTTCATTGAAACATCCTGTATATCATACTACAGGGGGTGCGCCAGAACTCGCGCCCCAGAGAAAATTTTCAAGTAAGGTAAGATACCAGGAAGATGAAAAAAATGTTTAAAAAATTCTCTGTCAAAAAATTTTGACATTTATTTTTTGACATTTGACATTTTTTATATCTATTTAATGATACTGATCTTGTATATGTTTTTTTACAATTATTTAGTAAAGGGACAAAAATTTTGCTAATAAAAACCACAAATAACAGTGAACAGAGTTACAATTTAGGATACAGCTTCCTTGTTTCCTCTTTTAATAGTCTATAGCAAAAAAACTTGGAAAATTATTTTTCCAATAGAAATAGAATCAAGATAATTTTTTTTTAACATTTTTTCCATGTTCCTGGTATCTTACCTTATATGGCATTTTTCTCTGGGGCGCGAGTTCTGGTGCACCCTGTATAGATGTACAGTGTGTTTTTTGATAAAAAATAAAATCCATTAGTTCCTCTGAAACCACTTGAGTCATAATAAATTGAGTAATAAATTCATTTTTGTTTTAGAAAAGAGTAGGCTATTTTATTGTCAATCAGCCACAATTTTACTATACAACTCGCCAAATTTCCATAGCCTACTCTGGTCTAAAACAAAAGTAAATGTATAGTGCGATCAAAAAATCTATCTATCATGCAAGTCTAGAAATTTAAAACGTGTGTATGCAGAATATTAAATGTCACGATGATAAATGAAAAATGTCAAAATAATGTAAATTATGACAGGGAACCGTGGTGAACGATTTGTATGAATAAACACCAACATCCCAATTTAGGATGTTTTAAGAAATTTCATACAGTAATTCAATTTGTTTAGATCAATATTTTAATTTTTATAAAATAAATTTTGACATCTAGCTGACATACGAACTACTATGCGACATACGTCCGCACATAGTACGCCTACTCGATAGAAAGACTTTTTGATCGCACTGTATATTATTTTCATTGAAAGTGCTTAACTTCCGGCAATTACTTTATTTTTACTTTTACCAGTGGCGTACGTACAGGCACGTCACTGGAAGTTTTATTTTTTATAATTGTTATTTTTTATGTAAAATATATGTGGTTGCAATTTTTCGTAATATGAAGAAAATACGCAAAGAGGCAAACCTTTTGCGGATTTGTAGCGACTATTGAAAATTTAAATTTGATAGTTGAAATTATCAACTTAATTTCAAAGTCATTAACATTTTCATCAGAAATTTATTTGAAAGCATAATATCAAAAAAACTGTACACCCTGTACTGTATAAAAAAATAAAAATAAAAACAACTAAAATGGATGAAAATTATCGATATTTTAAACAACTCATACCATATGATCGAGAACATTTATCCTCTAGAAATCAATCCTAGAGGATAGATTTCCCGATTAAAGTAAAACAACTTCTCACCTTAGCTTCCGGTGGAAGACTACTCAGGTCACCCTTATTCTTCACCACTTGAATAATCAATCTCAACAGAATTGTATTATGAATTATATTTTTATACAATTGCGACGTTGGATGCTCACTTATACGATTACTAACAACATTGACCTAAAACCCAAAATTAGCGATAAAATTATTAAGCTAAATTAGAAAAATACCGGTCTCATATTTGGGGGAACCACAGGTATGATGTCCCAGTAAAAAACATCAGTTGGATGCTCTCCTTGTATTCCCCCCAAAACCGCGATAATTTCTTTCATTAGGTCCTTCTCCTCCTCCCATATTTTCCTCATGTAAGTCCGCGATTCATCAGGCGTGACATATTTAGCCTCAAAAGCCTTCACTCGCCCCAAAACCTCTGAATCTTTTTTTTCTTCTTTCCTCCGATTCGATAGAATAATTTTATTCCTTAATAATTGTATCTTTTCCATTGTATGTCTACAATGCATACAAATTCTCCTTGGCTTCACTTCTCTTAACATTTCGTTTACGAAGCGATTTCGTAAAGTTTCGGTATTTTTTGTCAAAATATATTTCCCATTTAAATTTTCAAACGTTTCCTGAGCTAACGTTTCGTACTTTCGAATCGGCATAACAGCATCTTCAGGGATATTCTCCAAGGACTCGTGAACCGTAATCAATTCAGCGATACTGTTAGAAATTTCTACAGCCTCCGTTACTAACCCGCAATTTAAAAGTCTAATTTGAAGCGTAATTGAATATTTCACATGTTCTGGAATTTGAAAACGAAAACAACTCAAGCAACTCATCCTCAAAATGGTCCCAATCATGCGATAAAAAATCGGATTAACAACAGGCAAAGGCAATTCAATATACCCAAAATGTCCCGGACAGAAATAAATATTTTTGCGGCAAGTGCCACATGGCTCGCTTTTTTCAGTCATAGGGCCCAAACATTTATCGTAGAGACCGCCAGGTAAAGGGTGTCCCAAAGGATCCAGAGTCAAAGGGGTACTTATTTTCGTAATACAAAGCTTCTTGATTTCTTCTTTTGTAAACATAGAGAAGACAACTGAGTCGAAAGAGAGATGTTTGGGACCCGTGTCGTGCTTTCGGATGTTTCTGGACATTGTGAGGCCCGTTTAAACACGTTTTTCACTTGAACATAACCTCAAAACTAAAATGTCACTGTAAAATTATTTTTTTGGAGTGAAAAAGCACCAAAGTAATTACATTAAATTAAGTTTGTTGTTTTGAGTGGTTTTTATGGTAAAAATAGTTAAAAAACTGTGAAGATGTAAAAATTATTCAAAATCTTGATTTAGGGGTTTAAGTTGGTTACACTGCAGACAACTGTCACTCGAACACGTGACTGAATAGAGCTTGGCCAATCTGAAGTTGACGTCTTGTAGACCTCGTGAACTTGTAGAAGGACCACGATAGGCGGAGCCAATGCATGAAAGAACTTGAGCAGTGGCGTAAGCCAGAACCATTCTATGGTAAAAAGGGAATTAAAAGTTACAGTTCTTCCGTATGTTCAATGATTGTGTTACTAAATATAAGAAAAATTTCACAGGATGTAATCCATTTCCTTGAAATTGGCATAAAAGTAGGCCATGATTGTGTAAACCGAGCTTAAAATGTGATAGAGGCTTTACATATTAAGGAACTAAATTTGTCACTAAAAAAATTGAGGTTAAGGTAATTAAAATTTTATTTTTAAAGAATCCTCTTTCAAAGGTTTTCAGATAGTTTTTTTTCCAAAAAAAGTTTAACACCCTGTTTCATCCCTTGTAGGTGTAGTTTTAACAACAAAAACTTCAAACATAATTACCTTAGCGTGTACTCTAAATCGTGGGTTGTGAAAAGAATTACTTCTAATTATAATTTGAAAAATACTGGGAATACAGCGAAAAAACGAATACAAATGTCATTTCAACCAACCATGTAAGTAATAAAAAAAAAAAATCCCTATCTGCTATTATACCAAAGACATGCGCAGGGCTACAAACTTAAATATGAAATTAAGGGTCTTTATGTTGATTTAATTCTATACAAAGGTGCCATGTACAGCGTGTTTTATTTAAAAAAAGTCGATAGTTGTTCCAGTCATTTATTTATTGACATCACAGATTTGAATTGACAGAAAATACTAAATTTTACAACCTTGTTTTATTACGTAGGTGCCAGATGAGACTAAACAAAATGAGAATTACAATATTACAACAATTTTTGTGTGGCCTTTTGTAAAAAAGAGAGAAATAAAGTATACGCGATTAGAGCAACTTAAAATTGCTATACAGTGCAGCTATTTCTGTATTGAAAAGTTGCTCTAAAATCCTAAGAAACATCTAATTGAAACGAAATGTAAAAGCTTGGTATCATTATTATATCAATTCTTTTTTAAGTCAAGTAGAAATCTTAAACACTAGAAATAGCATATTAAAATTGTGCTAAGTGAATATTAATATTGACAAAGATTGAAAATCTTTTCCCTACCTAATAGGAATGTTCAAGTAAAACTATTTACATTATTTATAAAAATATACAATTTCATTGCGAAAGTTATTAGGTTTAAGTCACTGAAACAGAATTTTGCGAGAAATTTCAAGAATATTGCACTAACTCAACTGTTACAGTATAGGTAGATTTATTACAATTGTTTTGTATATACATTGTGCGATTAATTAAATATTTACATTATTTGAAATATGTACAATCTTATCCGCCAAATAAAATCAGTCACGAATAAAAAATCTCAATGGAATGTTTAAATCCTTGGAAAAAAATGTATGGCAACGAGGTTACATCACATTAAAACGAACCAAAAACTCAAACCTTGGATTCGAGATTAGCACTAACTTAAACTTTAAACAAGCGTAAAGAAACTAAGAAAATTTCGTTAAATGCTAGGAAACCGTCATACAAGAAATCAACTGTTGACAAAGCTGGTTATAAACCAAATGATCGCCGGATATCCGTCGCATTTTCAACCCTTTCGAGTCTTTTTGCTTATCGATAACTTTCAACTCGATTTGAATCCCTCCTTCATATTCCAACGACAGTCTATCGTTCACATCTTCCGAACTCGAGCAAGTTTTAGGTGGGATTTGATCCGTGATGGTCCTCTTAACCATCTCCAAAATATCCGTCGATTGCAACTTTGAACACACTTCGCTCAATTCGAATTCAAACGAACCGGAATTTTTATGGAAATTCGTATCGCCCTCCTGATTCGAATTACAATCGTCACTATCTCCCAATTTCAAATTCTGAAAAATTTGAAAATTCCCAGTCCCCGAATCCGTCAATTCGTGTGAAATTTGCATCTTCTCAAACGTATTATCGCACACGTGACTACTCTGAGTGTTGGAACTCGAACTCGGACTCTGATTCCCTATACTCAAACTATCATTCGAAAGCGAATCGTCTGAATAACACGAACTCTTATCCGAATTTCGTCTCAGAAAAAACTCGTCGCTCGGCTCCGCCTCGTGGGGTTTGCTAAAAAATTTTGCCTCGTCATTCTCTTGACTAGTTTTGCGACCGATGCCTTTAGTAATCGATGGTAAGTTCTCCGATGGTTCCGAAATGATAAAAGAAGGGATTTTTGGGATTTTTTGGTTGTCGAGACTGTCCATTGAATCCTCGGAGGTGTCCGAACCGGCAACTAGAGTCACTTCGCTGCCAAGGACGTCGGTCAGTGAGATTTGGGGATGACCGATTGTTTGTTGGTCGATTTTGGGGATGTTGTGCACGTGGGGTAATTCCTCTTGGATCATATCCAAGCCGGGACTTCCCGGATTGCTTATAGGGGAATTTGTCAAACTGCGATGGTTATGGATGTTTAAAATGTGATGCATGTGGTGGGGCTGGTGAAGGAAATTGGGTTGAAAACTGGTGAGGTTGGTTGAGTAAGTGGTGTCCATTTTGTCCTCTTGCATTTGTTGGTTACGAATTTCCAATTGGAGGCTGGTAGATGGCGTTCCTTGTGTTATCGAACCCGCACCGGTGGTACTCAAACCGCTTATACCTAAAAGAAAAAAAAAATTAATTAAAATGGAATAAATAATAACACTTATAATAATGGCCTGTGATTTTAAAATTAAGTTGGCAACATTTCATAGTCAACTGCTGTCATTCATTCAGTGTTGCCAGATCAAAAACATAAAATTCACCAGCTGCGAGTTGAAAAATTTGTTAAATTTTCACCAGATTACATTTTGTATGACAAAATCTCGTAAAAAAAACTTTTGGAAAAAACAAAAACAAAAATGACATGCTTTTCGGCCTAATTATGTGATTTTTCAGCTTGTTTTCAACAAAATTTTGACAAATAATTGCGTTTCTAACTGAAAAACGTGCTAAAACGCTAGAAAAATACAAAAATTATGTAACTTTAGACTTAATTCCTTGATTATTTAATTTGGTTTAGCAAAATCTAGCGAAAAACCTGAGATTTTAGTACAAAAAACTTGCTGAAATGCGTTTTCGCTCAAACTTTGTGTTTTCTCGGCTTATTTTTGTCTTATTTTGCTCAAAAACCAGTTAAATCGAGTGAGACAAACAAAATAACACCAATATCAATAATTTTTGTGATTTTTTAGGCGTGTTTGGATAATGCAGCTTCTAAGTCAGGCGAACAAGCCAAAAAATGATATTAATTTCAATTTAATTTTGTAATTTTTTGCCTGCTTCAATGCAATATTTCAAACTTTTTGTGTTTTTATCTCTCAAAAAGACTATTTTGGCTATTTTGTTAAATTTGTGGCTTGTTTTTTACAAAATTTGTTTTTTACAAAATAATTGTGTTTATAGCTGAAAAAACATTCGACAAAAACAAAAATAAGTTGCCTTTTTGGACTCCGTTTAGTAATATCTCGTAAAAAACAAATTGAACTATTTTTAACCAATTTGGTAGTTTTCGATTATTTTTTTCTTCGAGAAAATTTGACAAAATAGTCAAGTTAAAGCCTAAGAGTTAGGTAAAAATATTTAGTGATTTACTTTGACACGCTATGGCAAACTCTAGTGAAAAAAGTTTTCAGCTTGAGCTTTCAAAAAAGGAAAAAATTATATCATTTTCGGTCTAATTCTGTATTTTTTGGCTTGTTTTTGACCAAGTTTGTGAAATAATTGCGTTTTTAGCTGAAAAACGTGCTAAAAATGCAAAATTAATGTAATTTTCGACTTAATATGTTGATTTTTCAGTCCGTTTTAGCGAAATCTCGCAAAAAACTGAGATTGTAGTATTCGATTTGTAATTTTATGGCCTGCTTCGAGATTTAATTTTTTTTTTTATCTCAAGAACGTGTTTAAAAGAGCAAATTTGTTTAATTTTTGGATTGGTTTTAACGAAATTTTGCGAAATAATTGTGTTTCTAGCTGAAAAAGTATTCAAAAAAAAAAGACAAAAATAAATTGTCATTTTTGATTCTGTCACGTAAAATCTTGTAAAAAAGAACAAACAGAACTATTTTGAATCAATTTGGTGGTTTTTCGTCTTTTTTGAAAAAATTTAACGAAATAATCAAGTCTGGTTGAAAACGTGGAAAATGCTCGAAAAACAGTTTTTTTCATTTCCAAAAAATCATCAGATATTAGAATTTTTACAAAAGTTTTCACCAAATCACCAGATTAACATGAAAATCACCAGATCTAGCAACACCGCATTCATTTAACCTAAACATTATGCAATGTTACCAACTTAATGTCAAAATAACAGCCCACTTTGATCTTAAATACCAACCTTGAGTTATGGACGAGATGCTGCCAGGGGCCGTTGGTGTTTGCACGTAATTGCCGAACACTGGTGAAGTACTGGGACTCAGCAATGGGTTCATAATAGGCGAATTGGTACCAGAATACATACTTAAGTTGGTAGCGAAAAGATTCTGTTGGATCGGTGAACTAAGGTTACTGTTCGGATTCGTACCGAACGGTGACGAATGTAAAGGACTGTTTCCGAAACTACGATTCGGATCGTAGGAGCTTTGGTACGATTCTGGGGGAAGTCCCAAAGTGGGATCGCGGGAGGGATCGTTTGGATAAAATTGATGGATCGGAGACGAACATTCCGCCATCTGGTGGCGGATTTGCGGGTCGGATACGAGTTGGTGGATAGGCGAACCTGGAAAATATTATTTTATTGTTAAAAAATTAACACAAAATATGTGTGTCAAAAATTAACTTGACTGCAATTTCTGCATTTTTACTAAAATAAAAATTGGAACTTAATTGTTGATTTTGTTTAAAAAACTTTTTAAGTTTTGTTTTGATAATTATACTCTTTTCCATATTAATGTGCATCAAGTAGGTTATAAAAGTTTAAATCAATCTTTAATCATTAATGTCATTCAAAACACATTTAATCACATCAATAATAACAAAAATCTTTATGTCTGCTAACCTATGTTAACAACGTTGTTAATTTTTAATTATTTTTTGCTACATGGGGTACACATTTATTTGAAAAAATAATTTTTAAGAAAGATTGAGGTTAGAATTGTTTGAATTTTCGTATGATTGCCACCTTCAAATAATCCCTTTCAACAACTACTTCGATGCACATTAATATAAAAAATATTCTTTTACTCCGATGCTTTTAATATACCGGGTGTCCCAATAAGGTCGGCTAGCGGTTGTATGTCGGAAACTAGTTGTCCTATAGATTTCGGAAAAAAAATCATAACAAGTGACCAAGAAATTCATAGAAAATGTGTTCCACTCTCAAACCTCATCGCTAGAGGGCGCAATCTCAAATCAAAATCAAAAAATGGTAATTTCTGAATAAAATTTATAATGTGAAATGGTTTTGGACTCTCCTAGTAATACTCTAAAAATTAACTATTTGACATTTTGATCTATCTCTTGAAATAAGGGTTGGGGGAGGGTGGAACCTTATTCCAAATAAAGTTCGACAACTTCCAATTACGTCAACTGATTTTGGTGAGTTTGGTCTTGTTTTGAAGCTATTGGATGACAAAATCATAATATTCGAGTTCATATTTGAGACTGAACCGCCAGATGTCGTTTTTTGCCGCTTAAAAAGTTTACACAAATATCCACGAAAAATTAAATGGAAGGCCATATTTATTATTTCATTATCGTATTACTCATGAGATAACTTACAAAGTAGCACAAACTGGACGTCGTTATCGTTTCTCAAACTAGAATTATCAATGAAAATGTTTTTTTTAGAAAATTATTGTTATATAAATTTTAACATGCCTTTATCTGTCTCTGAATTCTTTATTGTTGTTAACTTAATTTATTTCAATATTATGGACAACTCTGATCGTTCTATGAAAAAAATTCTGTTGAATTTGCAGTTAGAGTGGAGTAAAAGCTAAAAGTACATACATGGGTGGAGCCTGACATAAGAGGAGGCGCGGACCAGTGGTGTCCTTTCTTAAATATTACGATCACGATCGTAAAATAGACAGGTCTGAAAACTCGTGTTTCAAAATTCAATTAAAAAATCTAGATCTCAGTAGGTTTTGAGGGCAACTATACCCGTGGTGCCTCTATCGGATACTACGTTAATTACTGCGTATTTAGGAACGAAAAATGACGCCGCCGTGCGTAAGTAATGTGAAATATTAAATTAGCGCTTGTCATAATTTCTTAGGTTACTGTGAGCTTATCAAAATTGTTAAAAACAGTGCAAGAAACAACTTAATAAAGTACAATATGTTTAATAGACGTGGCAGGTAAGTGCCGTTTCATTTATTTAGTCTTCGAAGAGGTTTTTGGTTTGGTTTTAAACTTGATGATAGGAAACATCCTTTAACTTTTAAACAAATAGCTTTATTAATTGCCACCTTACCGTCTAGTAGAAAAAAAGAATAGAAAACATTGCTGTTATTGATTTTTATACAAGATGCTACCTACGATAATAATGCAAGACCTTTAAAAAAGACGTGGAAAAGAAGTGTTATTGAAGAAATGAAACAACAAATAAATAATGTTATAGTAAGTAAGTTTTAAACATAAGTTATTTTTCAGTTATCCAATTCTAAGTAATAATGTAGCGATCAAGATTGGTGCAAAATTTACAATAGAAGAATTTTGTACAAAAAATCTTCCAAGATTTATAAAAATGGTGTGTTGTTACTTGGTCAGAACGCACTTTGTGTACACCAAGATTTTTTGAATAATAAAGAAAACGACAGTCACAATAAAGACAATTTCAGGATCTATTTTTGTGGTGAGCGTGCACTTTGTAAACAGAGTAAAGAAATAAATAAATTTTTAAAAACTTGATACATTTGTGGACTCATTTATCTATAGGACTTTAAAGACAAAGTATTACTTCTTAGACTGATACAAATATGTGAAAACTCAAAACCCTAGTCGATTAAATGCTTCAATGTTAAATGTTTTCTCTCTAATTTTGTGTCTTTTTTCTCAAAATGTAATTGACAGCTTCTGTCTTTTCTTTTCAGTATAGTATTTAGAGTTTCATCCCATCTTGCCCTTAGGTCCAATTTTTCTTTCACTCCAAAAAAACAAATGTTTACTACCTTATTTTTTCGTGCAATGGAAAATAGCACGAATTCTGAGCATCTGCAGAAGTGTTTTTGTGTAAACAAGATATAAAAACCAAACATATTTACCTTTTTGATTACCAAAAACATTGAACGACAAACTCAAAACCAAAAATATTTTTTAATATTTGATTTAGGTAAAAAAATCAAGGTAAACAGAACGAAAGAAAGCAAGTTTTTAACCAAGACAACATGAAGTATAAATCAAAGAAAACCATCCTAAAACACCGTAAAACTGTGCACAAGCGGCAAAATATTTAGAAACGTTGGATATAGAGAAAAATTCGCTTTTTAAATTTGTGGTTAGCTGCCAAAATGCTGTCAAACAGTGAATTTATAAAGTCACCACCTGAAGGCGCCACGGGTATAATTGCCCTGCATAAGCACCGGCGATTCAGGAAAAATAATTCAATTTCAAACGTATTTATGAATGGAGTTTCCAGACCTGTCTATTTTACGATCGTGATTGCGATAATATAGCAAATCTAGAAGCCACTGCTTTCCTCTTTTTTAGAGTGGACTCGTCCGAGACGCCCAAGTGTGTACTTTTAGCTTTTACCCCGTTCTAATCATGTTAAACCCTACCTGGAATCGACCTCGGTGGACTCGACCTCGCCTGCAGCCCTCTTTGCAACCTCTGACACTCCTGTTGAGGCGTCGAAGGACTCAAAGTCCGCGATCCCGACGCCGAACCTTCGCTACCTCTCCTCACCGGACTGAACCTCTCCATCGATTTAGGTTCGCGACCTACACAAACACCAACTCTCTCGTCACAACCACACACACATGTTATCAACAACAAAGCGAACCAAAACACAAAAAACACAAACCTTGCAACTCTTGTACTGTGGGCAAATGAGGTTTGACAGCGTGCCGTGAATGCTTGCGTTGTGGTAACATGGGTGGCATGTAGTTACGCTTCATGCGTGCTTCAACTTCCATCACTACCTCTGGTGGAATTACTAAACAACGCATGCAAAAAAAACACAACGAAAAATAAAAAATAATAATAAAAAATAAAAAGCAAGCAACAAACACAGGAAAATACTACGAGTGGTGTTATTGACAGAGAACATATAGTACCTGGTGGTCGTTCCATGACGGTCAAAAGACCGGTACGACGGGTGCGGCCCCCGGAACTGCTCCCGGATTGTAAGCTGTGGACGTCTTCGGGATTCGCCATCGTGTGTCGTTTCGAATTGCCCCTTCCTTGCATATACCTACACAAAAAGTAATCTAACATTACTTAAAGTCCTCTGATTTTTATTTTTATATCTCTACAAATTGAACAAAAATTCGTACAAAGAAAAATTGTAACTATTCTAATTCTGTATTCATAAATATACAGGACGTGTCAGAACTCGCGCCCAAGAGAAAAATTTCAACTAAGATTAGATACCAAGAACATGGAAAATTCTTTAAAAAAATTATATCTGTCAAAAAATTTTGACATTTATTTTTTGACATTTAATGATATACTCTTTTTCATACTAATCTGCATCAAGTAGGTTGCAGAAGTCTAAATGCATCTTTAACTTAAAGATCGATTCACACAAAAAGTGTCATTAATGTAATTAAGAACAAATTTAATCACATCAATAATGACAAAAGTCTTTATGTTTGCTACTCTATGTTACTTACGTTGTTAATTTTAATTACTTTTTGCTACCTGGGGTACACATTTATTTGAAAAAATCATTTTTAGGAAAAATTGAGGTTAGGATTGTGTAAACTTTGCAACTTAAAATGATCTCTTTCAACCACTACTTCGATGCACATTAATATGAAAACGAGTATACTGATAATCAATGTAAAAAATTCCTTAAAGACCAGACTGTACCACCCTAAAACCTTTCTTTTCGGAACAAAAATATGTATATTAAAAGGATATGTTAGTAATTTTCAAATATTAGAAAACTTTCAAGCGTAAGCAAATGTTTACCAAAAGAAAAGAAATAAAAACGAAAAGAACACAGAAAATGCAACTGCAAAACGGGAAAAATTTATTTATCTTACAGGTTGAGTTTTTGGGGTACCTTAGACCATTGGTTTCGGTGATAGAAATCAAATATTATCCACAAGTGAGATAAAGTACTCACAAGTGAGTAAATTTGAATATTATATTATTTTTTTCTATTATATTTACTATTATATTTGTATAGGTGAATATTTTACTTGAATGAAACTTCATTTTTTGGATAGTTGCACCTGTAAGATAAAATGTCGTATATCACACGTGATCGAAATGCAATTATGAAACAGTCTTAACGTTGGCACCACTAGTAAGTTCATTCATGGTAATAATAATAAAAGAAGTTGGTAGTTCCGGTTTTTTGAATTAATTTTAACACAATGTCATTAAACGTCAACACACAAAAATCGTCTAAGAAAATTTAGAGACGAAACACCAAAAAAGAAACAAATTCGGTACACTAACAGTTCTTCGAAATTTGGAAACGAATAGTTCGCAAGAAGGAAGTTAGAAAAAGGGCCCGTTAAAATGTAGACACAATTTGTAATGCAGGTTTGCCAACATTCTCAATTTTTAGCAAGAAATTGACAAGAATACAAAATAAACATGAATAAGAAAAAACCTCGAAAAAATGCAATTAAATTGGTGTCTTGTGCATCGTTTTTGAGGAACGAGTTGAAAAAGTTACAATTTTGAAACTAAAGCTGAAGAAGAATTTATAAAATGCATCAACTTTGAGCTCATTTCAATAAATTACACAAAATTTATTGCCAATCATCATAATACCTACTTGTATCGTTTGCTATATAACTTTTTTCTGTATATACATCCTTTTTCTTCAAAGTTTTTGTAGCAAAAACCTCATTTTTGTCCACAACATTGTACTTACTTGCGCCATGTTTCTATCAAAATTATTAGCACTGAATTCTGTCTTTAGACCTTAGGTAAAGATGTCTGTCCTTAGGTATTAAATTATAGCGCTTTCAAAGAGCAAAAAGGCACACAAAATTCATAAACGTCAAAATTTTGACAACATCTCAATTTGAAAACATGACCATAATTTTTTAACAAAATTTCTAGGGACAAAAACAAAGAGCACACAAAATTTGTGGCTATGGAGACAAGCTGCTACCAACTTTTTCACTAAAATTTTGACTCGGTAATTTCCATTTAAAGAAAAAACAGACTTTAGGCGTTATCGTATCAATTTTTTCAAAAATGGCAGGGTCCACAAAAAATAGTTCCGTTCTAAAAGGCCTTTGTTCGGGACAGTGTATTCCCGCCATCCGCAACGTCACGGAAATAATTCTAATACCAACCAATTCCATCTTCACCATTTAATGCGCCCTTTGCGTTGTACTTTTTATTTTAATTTTAAAAGTAAATGCGGCTTCAGTAGCGCAAACGCCTTCATAACAAAACGTTGCCAACGTAATAACATCAAATAACTAGTGACTGATACCAACATGACAACAACAAAAAATGGACTTTATTAATAAAAATTTTAATGCCCGGTTGCACAAAACTCCCATCAATCGATCATTAGATAATGGTTCATCAAAATTTGATGGTTTGTTAACTTTGATTGCGTTGCACAAAACAATTTGCACATGGTATAATGATTCATCATATGATGATCGTTTAATTACACATCCGATATGACAACAACGCCGTATTTCTTTAATTTGACATTTTGACAATTTTTGTGTCATTGTCTTTGTGTCTTGTGTTCTGGTGGTAGTGTCTTGTGTTTTGGTTCTAAGTTCGAAGCAGGATGTCGTCGAAACGGGTAAATTATACCCACAATGAAAAGAATATATTCCTTTCGGTGGTAGCGAAGTAAGTTTTTATCAAATTTGTTCTAGAGAAACCAACACCAAGAATACACCAAGAGACTTCAACATTTTACTATTCCAATTAATTTTATTCACTTTGTACTCGTTACCTCAGTTTTTTCCCATTTTCCACTAAAATAAGCTCAATATTTTCGACATTTCAACTCCTTAATCCTTGTCTCATCCTTTAGATATAAAGAAGTTATTGAAGATAAATGCACCAAGGCGTGGGCGGTGCAGAAAAAGGCAGTTGCGTGYGAAGCAATTGTAGAAGAATTTAATTGCTTGGCTGAATCAGGTACTAGGTCGGTCAAGCAATTAAAAATCTTTTACGAAAATATAAAGCGGGAAACTCGTAAAAGGGTGGCTCAGGAACACGTAAGAATTTTATAAAAAACACATGCTACATTTGACAAATATATATTTAAGCAAYAYCAATATGAAGCCAGAGTAAAGGAGGGCGAAGCGAGGAAGGCCGCTGCTCACGACAAGGTAATTACATGACACAAATTTACATTACACCACAGTCTTTTTTTTTGTAACAAATTATATTTATAAAAATTATAAAAAAATTAATATTAATTAAAAGAAAGAAATAATGAAGACTGGCGGAGGCAGTTCCACCTTGGAAATGACCTCCGAACAAGAAATACTCCTGGCCACAATACGGGAACAAGTGGAGCCCCTAGATAATGCTTATGACAGTGCGGCTGAATATTTCAGTAATATACACGCTTAAATATTAATAAAACAAAAATAATTTGTGATTTTTTTGTCTTAATAGATGATATCGAAATATTTGAGAAGCCGCAAACTCCAATTCCCGAACTTGCWCTCTCTGGACGTTCCACTGACCTTGCCCGCTATGAACCTTCCTCCAACTTTCCCTGCTCTGCAAACCCAGAACCTTGTCCTAAACCTGTTCCTACCCTGCCAAGACGTAAAATTTTGAAACCCCGAAAAAAACAAAAATTAAATTATAAAGATCTATATTATCAGGAAAAAATTAAAACCGAAAAAAAGAAACAAATTTTATTAAATTATGAAATACAGAAAGTTAAATTAGAAATTAAAAAAATGCAAAAATAAATATGTGTTTTTTTATCTGGCGAAAATAGTTTCGACCAGAGAATTCCTTACTGCAAAGTTAACATTATTTATGTTATGTTCTTGATAAATAACATTTTCCTCCTCATCATGTTCTATAATCTCATCAAAATATTCTTCTATATCATCATCTTGCTGTTTGCAGATGTTGTGTAGAACTCCACAGGCAATAATTACTTCAACTATAGTATTAATTTTTAATCGAAGCCCATATTTCAATGATGGAAAACGACGTTTCAAAACTCCAAAAAATCTTTCTATGCAGTTCCTAGTAGAGACATGAGCTCGATTATAAGCCTCTTGGCTTGCGTTAGCTGGATTACGAAATGGAGTGAGGAGGTATTGTTGGCAAGGATATCCACCGTCACCCAATAGATACCCATTACCATATCTCCCCATTCGAAAGTCGACAGGAAGAGGCGAATTATTAAAAATCGTACTGTCGTGTACCGATCCCGGCCATCGAGAAACGATGTGTAATAATTTCAAATTGGCGTCGCAAACGGCCTGGACGTTAATACTAAAGTACCCTTTTCGATTTCGGTACAGTTCTGCATTTGCACCACCAGGCGATTGGATGCCAACATGGGTACAATCCACAGTACCCACAACACYAYGAAAACCAGCAATTTGAAAAAAATTTCTTTTGGTTGCTACCAACTCCTCAACGGTCCTCGGCATCTTAATATYTTCTTGAGAGAGTCGAGCAATTTCGCGTGTGACTTTTTGGATAATTCTGCAGATGCTGGATTTGTGGACGTGCATCCAATCGCCGACGAGTTCCAAAAAGCCACCCGTTGCATAAAATCGGAGGGCAATTAAAAATTGGGTTTGTGCACTCAAGGATTTGTTCCGCTGCGACTCTATCTCCAATTGTGTGTACTAGATAAGTAACAGTAGCTTTATTTAAGCGAAACCTTTTTTTAAAGTCATATTCATCCAACATCTCAAATGGATTTTCACGGTCCCGGATGAAACGAATTCTCCGTACAGGCCTTTCAGGTTCTTCGTAATCACTCTCGCTTGATGAAGATGAGGATGTGTCCCACAACATTTTTCAAATAATAAAGTCAGTTCAATGTTTTCTACAACTTTTTAATCCTTATTACTGTCTCATCCTTTAGATATTTAATAACAACTCACTAAAAACGCCTTAAAACGTCAAGAAAAAATTTGACATATGATTTAATCACCGATTAATCGCCCGCGGTTCAGTCATTAAGCTGATGAGTCGTTAATGAATAGTTAACAGTGACATTTTTGTTTGTGCAACGGAAAACAGTGGTGATGGACCATTAACGGACCATTATCGTTGATAATCATCAAATTTTTGATGAAACGTTAATCAACCGTTAACGGTGTTTTGATTTCAACAAAATTTTTGATGAATGTTTAAAGCTTTGTTAACTATCCGTTATCTTTCGTGCAACCGGGCATAAAAGTTTTGATTGAATCACAATTTACTGTCAAAAACTCCATGGTTAAAAAATCGAAAAACAAACCTGGCCACTGCTGCCAACTCATCCAACGCCGGTTGGCTGTGTTCCAATGGTTGGGTGACTGTCCCACTGCTCAAACTGGGGTTTCCACTCGAACTCGTCGACATCATCGACAACTGCTCGTGAGAGCCGGGAGTTCCCCAAGCCATGTGGAGGTTAGCACCACCATCTGAAGCCCTCCTTCCGAAACCTCCGGCCGCATTTAAGACAGTCGGCGGTTTAAGAAGATGCGGATCTTTGCCACCGAAATAGTGAGGGTTCTGTTGGCCCAGAAGAGGAAGATGTAAGGGAAGATTCGTATGGGGAAAGAGTTTCGTTCCGTTAGGGTCATGCGGGGTTTGACTCATGTAGTGCGTCTCCAATACCTGAAATTAATGAGTAATGTTTCAAATTAAATTAAATCGTAACACGAGAATAACATTAAGGTCAGCTCTCTTATAGAGTTTCCGATTATGTATCTAATGAAAACAAGATTGTAAAAATATAAAAGCATAAAAAAACCTCGTGAATCAAAAAACTCTGCGGTCGTTGATAAGTATTATTTTTTGAACAGCTTCTTAATAATAAAAATAATATTAAAATAAAATTATTAAAAGTGGAAAAGTCTTCTTTATAAATTTAAGTATTCAATGGAAGGTAAATAACACCGAAAAGAATAATTAAGTACAAGAAGAAACAGATAAATTACAAAGAACAGTAAATCATTTAGTTTCAAATGTTTCTAGAAATTAACAAACATTAACTAAAAAGTAAATGAAAAACAACAAGCAGTGAGTGTTACTTGAAGTGATAAAAAGCGATAATTATTACACAATTAAATAACGTTTGTTATAAATAAAATGTGTAAATACACTTCATCATTGCGATCATTAAATAATACATTTGTTATTTATTCTTAAATCACACCAGTGACTTACTATGACTCACAAGTGACTTATAAACCACAGATAATAAATATAAATTTGTAAGTCGAAAGTGTTTTATTAAAAAAGATCGTAGGTAAAACGTCGCATTTGACTCGCCATTAGCTCGTGTATAAACTTCGTCCTCCTGAATTATAGTCACTATTATGTGCTCGTTAAATAATATACTATTTAAAAATGTACATGTATAATCCAGAAAAAATTGTATAATAATAATAAAATAGTAAAAACCCATATTATAAAACTTAAAAAAATTCTGTAAATAATAATTGAAAATATCTCTTGTGAAACAATAACAAAATCAGGAATCACAGATAAATAAAAATTTTCTTTCAACACAAGTGTGTGTTAAAAGATGAAAAAATACAATAGAGAAAAAAATAAGTCAAATGATACATAAATAAATGTAAAATGTGTAAACGAAATCTTTATCACAAATGATTTTTATTTTACTTTGTTCATTTTTTTTAAATACTGTTAACAAAATTAATAACACTAACAGTATTCATCTAACGGATGCTTTTTTTAAATTTGGCGTCAAAGCTATCCATGAAAGTTCGAGTGTGAACAAACCATCGTATTGAAAGTTATTAATATGACATTTGACTCCTCGTCGGGCGTATTAACAATTATGGTTCGTTCACAACACACTCATATCACCACCAACTATGACACCAAAATTAAATAAACATCTATTATAAATTACGTAAGGAATGTTCGGCATAAAAAACTAGCCCGGCGCATCCACCATTCATGATTTCAGTGAAAAAGGAAAATCAGTGTTACAAATTAATTACTATTTATTAATTATTATTTCATTAATAATAATTAAAAAAATAGCTATTTATACAACAAGTTGCAAAAAGAAGTTACGAAAATAAAAAACTTTGGTGTTGTACAATCATCAAGAGTTCCAACAAACTGAACAAAAATTTCTTTTTCTAAGAAAACTATTAGATTCTCTTGTTATTCAACTTATAAACAAAAGTAGAAATAGTTTTGTTGTCAAATTTATGTTTATCTATCTCCTAGATTATTAAAAAAAGTCTTTCTTATTCGGCCCCTCGCTTCAGCAAAATGTCTGATTTTTTAAAATGACATAAATAAGGTGTACCGAGCGCAGTCTATCGGATTCAAATTTAAACATCATAAATCAGCAACTGCAACTACAGGAGTCGCTGTGATTTTTCAAAAATGGTACTTTTTTTTCATAGAATTGCCTATAAATGATAAACAGTCCATGATAGACCCATAAAACCAAATATGGATATTCTTAGAATTAAAAACTCTTTCAAATAAGCGCATAATATACCGGGTGTTCCATAAGAAAAAATATAACTTTGTTGCGCCACCCTATAATGACGAAAATATTTTTGGACAATAGAAAAAATGAATGTCTATCGTCCAAAAGAAACCGCATTTCGTTATCTTCTTTACTGTCAAAGTAATCGAAGAAATACGGAGCTCCGGGACAGCCTGTATGTGTAAGGTCGGCTGCATACTTTAATTTCTACAATTTTCTCTAACTAATGTTTTCAATAAGACGTTGATGTATTAGAAATTGCAAATTTTGCAATTTACAGGATGTGTTTCATACCATTACGTACCAACAAATTCAAATTTTTGTAAAAAACAGACAGAGACATTAACTTAAAATTTAAATTAACCTTGGTAAAACATTTTGTTTATTAAATTTTACCATACATTTATGTTGGTATTATTAAAATTATTGAGGTAGGAAACCACGCGAGCACCGTACCGCAGCGCCTCTACAAAACAAAAATAATGGCTTGAACTACTGATGCGACGGGCCGTATAAAAGAAACTTTTCTTGATAGTAAAGGAGGCCGTTATCTACATTAATAATATATAAATTCAAAAAAATTAGTTGCTTATTTTTTTCTTTTCATATGTGTTAAAAGAATTAGCAATACACACTGACAATAGACACGATTTCGAAAATTCTTTTTGCGTTTTGTTTTATTTTACTATTTATGTCCTTTTTTCTTTAACGACAGGATGCAAAACTTTTTTAATAATAATTTGATAATAAGCCAAGGAAGGTCCCACACGATACTAGTAGGTTTTTATAGAAACGGTGAAAATTTTAGAATTTAAGAGACGCCCTATTTGCTACAAAAAATTATCAACAAAAAAAAAAAACTTGTTTTATTCTACTACTGAAACAAAAAATTTAAATTGAAGAAAACTGCACGTACAGATTATCCATTTACTACCTGAATCGTCATTTCATGATGACAACTGTCACATTTTTGAAAAGTAGGTGCTGTGTGAATTTATTTATTTACTTACAGTTTTTACCTCAAGGTTTGTTGTTAAAAAATTAGTTACTTTTATAATATCATTTTATTATTTATTAAATTTATTTAACAATACAAATTTTGACCTATCCTCTTCCAAATACTAGGCAAAGCTTTTTATCCACCAATATTTTGGTTACGTAATTGTTGAAGGGGAAGTTTCAGACAGCCACGTAAGAAATCCACGAGAATAGGTTTGAGGCTGTGTAACCGGACATGGAAATGAACCTCCCAAAATAACTGCTTACAGTTTATTAATTTGCTCGCCGAAACGACATTACAAATAAGGAATATCGTCAAACTCTATTTTGATCGTTTATATAAAAAACGCATTTAATAGTGTTTCCAAAAAACGCCCTTAATCGGTATCCCATTCCCCCAAAGATACCCTTGCATTAACACAAGCGCGATCAGGCCCCTCTTAAGAACTTTAGGTTTGTTAGTTAATTTTCTATTTTAATAGTAATGGTGTTTTTTTTCGCTGATCATTTTTTTCAGTTTTTAATTTAGATTGAAAATGCGTAGAAATTTATTTATTGTAACTGTTTTTATATTTAATATGCATTGATTTAAAAAATTAAGAGTATTTTCCAATACTGTTAAACGGTGTATTATAAAATTTCAAACAGTTACTGCCCCATCTACTCAATTGATGTCACGTACGGCAACCCGAAATTCAGTAGATGTATAAAACACTGTGCAACCTGTCTCACCCAGCATATTTTGTTAAAATCGAGAATCATAATTGTAAGTATAAAAAAGTGACCTTACCTGTTCATGCGCTGAATCTCCCGGTCCAACTGTATGTCGCCTCACCGTCAGATACTTATCACTTGAAGAGCCACAACTGCTGTATCCCGTCGAAGTAGACGGTACACTCAACGAACACGCTTCATCCGACGCATCCTGATCCATTTCCTTGAACTTCTCCAAAGGCTGATTCTCTCCATCATCCACCAGATACACCGCCGGAATCGTCGGCATCGACACAAACGGCGACCCTCCATCCTCGGAAATACTCTCATTGACCGACTTTCGCCTCTCCTAAACGTTCAAAATTGTATTACACAATGCGACAAAAAAAGTCATGTCGTGACAACTTGACAAATTATACCAGGTGAATAAAAAGTATGGAACCAAACGTTTTTCGCTTAAACTATTTATTTTTTAGAAAAACTAATTGATGAATGATAAAGTGCTATAAAAATGTGATGATTTATGAAGAATAAATTTTTTCGAAATTTTGTTTTGTTTTTGAGTTCTACAAAAAATTTTTTTTTTCAAATGGCAACCCACTTTTCATGAAAGTTATCATCTAAGGATTACAACTATCTACTTTATAATTAATTTTTTCAATTTTTTGTTACATAAATTGCAATTTTGACCTAAAAAAACCGCATAATTCAAAAACAAAATAAAATTTCGTACTCAAAATACTATCACATTTTTTATATTACTTTAATTTATATAAATTATAATTTTCTGAAGAAAAATGATTTAAAAAAAAACCGCTTGGTTCCATACTTTATATTCACCCTGTATATCATTTTGTTCGTCTTAGTGAGACAAATCAAATGCACTAAAAAAAAATTAAAAAGTCCACACACTTTGAACTAAATAATTTTTTTTCTGATTTAAATGAATTTAAAATACTTTAACTTTAAAAAATCATTACTCAATAACTATTAGGCCGATTTCCTTCAAATAAAGACCATTCTAAAGGGATGGCCTTGCCCTTTAGAATGATATAACATTTGAAATTGAATATTGGTAAACTTTTCTTCGAACAGTGTTCGAAGTCGTTCGAAGTAAATCGAAGTAATCTAAGAAAAACACCACGAGTAATTTTTTTTTCTCCTTGTCACCATCATATAGAGCATCTTTTTATTAGTAAGAATCGAAATTTTTAAAATAATATACCGAGTAGTTTTTAAGATATGATTTTTTGAAGTTAAGGTTTGCTGTTCAGGTATTGCGCCATATAGGAGAAATGCATGTTAATCTTACTTAAAATTGCATTTATATAAAAGTATTTGTTTTAAGACTCTTCTTTTGCTTAAAAATGGTCAATTGCACCTTTTTTGTTCTAATTAGAATAAACAAAACTGTTTGTTTACTTAAAACAAACAAAGAGTTTTTTTGTTCTAAAAATGATCACTGATCATTAAGCAAAAAGGATCTAAAAGTTAAAAGCAGTAGCTTAAAATATAAGAAGAAATCTTTTTCAAATTAAATCACTTTCCATTCAGATTCCAACTTGTTCACTTTGTTCTAGCTTTCTGAACTTTTTTTTTAAATGTTCTCAGCAAATGCTTTCTCATCATTTTCTACTGATATTGGATACAATAAGTCAGTTGCTGAAGCTAATCGTAGAATGTACCAACAAAATAAATCAGGTGACTTATTGCATTTAACATCACTCGAACGTGATGAGAAAGCATTTGCTCAGAACATTTTCAAAAAAAGTTCAGAAAGCTAGAACAAAGTGAACAAGTCGAAATCTGAATGGAAAATGATTCGTTTTGAAAAAGATTTGACCTTATATTTAAGGCTCGTGCCTTAAACTTTAGATCCTCTTTGCTCAATAATCAGTGGTCATTTTTACAACAAAAAAACTCTTTATTTGCTTTAATTAGTACGCAGGTACTATTTATTTGTTTTAAGTAAACAAACAGTTTTTGTTTATTTTAATTAGAACAAAGAAGGTGCAATTAACCATTTTTAAGCAAAAGAAGAGTCTTACAACAAATACTTTTATAAAAATGCAATTTTAAGTAAGATTAACATGCATTTCTCCTATATGGAGCAATGCTTGATTAGCAAACCTTAACTTCAAAAAATCATATTTTGAAAACTACTCGTTATTTTCTTTTGAAAATTTAGATTACAACTAATAAAGAGATGCTCTACACGATGGCAATGATGAAAAAATCTGGTGTAAACATTACACGACTTTCCTTATCCAACTTATTTGGGAAACATCCTTACGGTGTTAGAAATCCGAGTGGCAAACCTAACGTTTGCCGCGAGTTTGAGTCTGGGGTGCAATTTTTTATTAGTTGGGTACCCATTATTATTTTTATTTTATCACATTTTACTGTTTAATAAGGTATATTTCATGATTGTAAATATTTTTTTTTCTACTTTGCGTTCATACTAAGGTCTATTACGAAACTGTTTTGAGTTTCGTAATGAACAAAAACAGTGCTATAAAAATTATACTGAAAAGAGGGAAATTTAGTCTTATAATGTTTGCCTAACGCAAATGAAATTATTCAAATACGAAATTTTTGCTGTGTTTAGTTTAATTAATCATCGGAAAAAATATTCAGAATGAACATTATGATTATTGTGGTGTTTACGGATACCTTTAAGTCATAGGACAAAGTAAAATAAAAGGTACTTACTGTTACTTTTGCTTCTTATAAAACTCGTATCATAATATACTATTATCCCCATGAATTTATTTATAGTATCTTCAACCGAATAATTTTGATTTTTGGTCTTTGCGGCCGAACGGTGCGACCGATTTTTACCAATTGTTTTGTGCTGCGTCAATCTGGGTAGGTCAAATTTCAGCCGATTACAATACTTTCCTTATAGGATAAGTAAAAAAAAATACTCGTAGGGTTTTTCTTAGATTATTTCGATTTACTTCGAACTTCTTCGAACACTGTTCGATGAAAAGTTTGCCAATATTCAATTTCAAATCATCCTAAAGGGCAAGGCCATCTCTTTAGAATGATCTTTATTTGAAGAAAATCAGCCTAATAGTTATTGAGTAATGATTTTTCAAGTTAAATTATTTTAAATTCATTTAAATTAGAAAAAAAAATATTTAGTTCAAAGTGTGTGCACTTTTTGAATTTTTTTTTAGTGCATTTGTATTGTCTCACTGAGACGAACAAAATGATATAAAATTTGTCAAGTTGTCGAATGACTTTTTTGACGCCCTGTGTTATTACAACTCAGATAAATCCAACATACCTCATCCCGCCTCAGACAATTCTCATTGAAACTCTCCCGTCGATAATTAAACGATTCGTCGAGATGTTGTTCGGCCGCTTGTCGTTTCTCTCCAGCGAGATGCGTCACTAACTGTTGTTCGTTGAACGATTCGCTCCGTTCGTTGATTTTCGGCGGCCGAGTGTGCAGATAGTCCAAAGTGAGTTCTTCCCCGGCGCGCCTCTGCTGCGAAATCTTCGACTGGAAGTTGATTGTGCGCTGGTGTAGTTTGTCCAATAACAGATTGTAGATGGCGTGAATGTGGTCGAAGGTGTTGTTCTTGACGGAGGCAAGGACCATATTCTGATTCAAGTTGGGCAGTTGCAGCATGTGGTCTATCACAGTCTTGTTAAGTTGGAGTTCGCGCTCAGGACCGGTGTCGACGGGGGGCGAGTTCGCCAACCATCGGTGTTTCACGATCTGAGACATCGTCAGTCTTTTTTCCGGGTCGACCACCAGCATGTGTCTTATTAAATATTCGCAATCTAATGCAAAACAAACAACAGAAAATTATAAATTGAAGGATTTTTCAAAGAAACAATTACCTTGTGACATGAAGTATGGAATTCGGAATTTGCCTTCAATCACGACATTGCGAAGGTCATGTAATGTTCGACCATCGAAAGGGAGGGAACCACATACCAAAACGTATAAAACTACACCCAAACTCTGCAAATGAAGAATTAATTGTCAACACACAATTGCCAAAAAAATTCTTTAACGAAAATAGCTAATCATGGCGTTTTTCTCTGGGGTGCCAAGTTTAAAATTAACCAAATAAAATTTTCGAAACCAATTCTTCGATATTTACCATTTTAGAATCATAATAATGGTTACTTATTAAAAAAACGTTATTTCATTCTTATTTTATTTGTTTTTTTGTTAACAAAATTATATAATACAAAAAGCACAGCTTAATTATTGCTGCTAGCCTCACACGTCTTCACATTTTTTTCTGACAATTGCTATTTCTCAGTATATTCAAGTTTATCAACTTACATAACCGTAATACACAATCAATAAATTCGTTACGTTATGCAATCTACACTGCACAATTTTCATCAAACGTATAGCAAAAGCAATTAATTGATTATTTATTATCAGCTAATGAAATAAAAATTTAGTTGCAATAAATAATAATAAAACGACAATTTTATACTATTTTATTCATAATCACATTTTGTTTAAATAAGAAAATATCTGATTTTCCTAACAAAGATGGCAATAAATTATTTCTCAACCAAAAAATAGTTCAAAAAAAGTTAAGAATAGGCATATTATTTTGAATTAAAAATATTTACATTATTACAAATTATTACAAATGTTTCATTTCCCTTAGGAGACAATTTGTTATAAAAAAATAATCAATTAACATAAATAAAAAATGTATTTCTGTAATAACTGTTTTTATACAAAACAATTATTTCACAGAGCGCTCACCCGGCGCATCCACCATATTTATTACTAAAAGTCCAATTTTCTACTTTTACACCAAAATATTTAAATGAATAAAAAAATTATTTATACCAGTACTTAAAAAAACAGTTTCCAGTCTAAACCTCACTGTACCTCACTGTTGGTAATAAATTGTAAAAATAATGACTTTCCTTAAACATTGTTTTTTTAGTTGGTGCTAAAATACAGGATGTTCGGTCCACGTCGCCCCGGCCGATAAGACCTAAACTTACTTTTTTTTCAAACACTACATTTTCGAATAATACTATTCATTCCTCGCTTTCTTAGTAAATGCATCTAATTTTTTTGGCACATCTGGTGTAGCCGAAAATGCTACCAAATTTAGTTTTTCAAATGGAACACATGTTTTTTTGCTCGAAACAATAATAATTGGCATGAAAAATACGGTAAACCACTATTTATTACATTTTACATTACATAATGCACTCAGAAAACAATTTAATTTTTTTTAATTTTATTGCAAATTTTGCAACGTAGGCGGATTTTACTTGTCAAGATATTCATGCAAAAAGCAATATGCTTGGATACCGTTTAATTATTAGTTTGACAAAGCCTAATTTGTCAATAAATCTTACTGAGATCTTTAATATTGGATGATATTAATTACGACGAATTGGTAGATCAGCTTGAAGTGTTTTTTAAGTGCAATAAAAATAGAACGGAAGCTGAAAGACAGTATAGAGAAAAATACTCAAATAGAGTTCCAAATCATTGGAAATTTAGTCGAATTGAATGAAAAACAACTGAGACGAATAGGTTTACTTCTTAAAACTTCTTCTTCTTTGTGAAGAACAAGAAAATAGAAATCTGAATATTCTGTTATCAATCGAAGAAAATCCAAGAGTTTCCATAAGAGAACTCGCTCATCAACGAACAAATTAGATTTGTGAAACCAACAATTTAATTGAATCCAAGCATTTTTTTATTCACACCTTTCCTTTAAAATTAAAAGTCAGGCTACGCGACCAATTTCCTTATAGAATTCTAAGATTTAAGATGTTTTTTGATTGCATTGTGTTACGCAAGATGTAATAAATAGTGGTTTACAGTATTTTCCATGTCAATTATTATTGTTTGGAGGAAAGAAAAAAAACATAGGTGTTCCATTTGAAAAACTAAATTTGGTAGCATTTCCGGCAACACCGAATGTGTTAAAAAAATTTGATAAATTTATTAAGAAAGCCAAGAATAAATATTATTACTTAAATATTTACATTTTGAAAAAAAGAAGTAAGTTTAGGTGTTATCAGCCGGGGCGACTTGGACCGAGCAGCCTATATAATACATACAGACGTTCTACCCAAACAAACCGTTATACGTTAACCAGTTATAGAAAATGTCAAGCTGCAAAAAAAAGTTTAAATATATCGAGCGATCAAGATAAATTGTAATCGAGTCATCTTTGCATCCGAGAACGTATGTCTGTTACCTTTCGACTTGTCATTTTACGTGACATTTTACAGACATACGTTTTCGGATCCAAGGATGACTCGATTACAAATTATCTTGATCGCTCGATATTTTGTTCTACCTTCATTCATTAAAGAGTTATAGCTTAACAAAGAGTAACAATAAATTTTGTGTGACATCGATAAGTTAAAAACGATGGCATTTGAGCAATTTTTGTTATATTATGTTTTTACTTATTTTTAATTTTTTTCCAATTATTATCTCACAAATAAATCGTTTCTGTACTCACAAACTCCCCTAGAAAAAATCAACGACGTTATTTTACGCATTCGGGAAAGCGGACTTATGACTAGATGAAACTTTGAATTTCAGAGTAATTAAAAAAAAACTCAAGATCCCCGAATATGAAAAAACCCAAAACACTTATAATAAATAAAAAAAAAATTAAAATTAACTATTAACTATTTAGTTAGTCACCTCGTTCGTTAAATTCAAATACATTTTACTACAATAGTGGAAAATGTGTCAAAATTTACTGTAATGGAATCAATTACAATAAAACACTATGAATAAGCGATTTTTTTCCCCAAATTAGCTTCAACTTCCTTAATCCCTTAACGCCATTAAGCTAAACATTACCAAAACGTATTATTATATCATTTATCACCTTTACCACACAACTCATTTTCTAAAAATATTATATCTTGTTCTAAAACACAAACGACACAAAATGATTTACACAAGAATTGTGTTTGCAATTCTTTCATTAGTTTTGCCAACCACAAAACCACTCGATGATTTTCTCAAACGATATTTTTACAATGACACAATTGTGATAATAAGTTCGGCACTTGACGGAGAACTTACCAAACTCTTAACGTCAACACAACCACTGATCCTAGTCAATCCAGACGCAAATCTAAATTTGGAAAAATTTCATAATTACATAATTCTAGAACAGAATATAACATCAATTATTGAATCAGATAACAAACTTAACACACATGGACAATTTCTATTGATTCTTTCAAATAATTCTGAAGATGATTTAAAAAACGTATTCGAAACGTTATGGCGCAGGTACATCTACAACGTGGTTGTGTACAATTGGACGACCTTCATCACGTGGTATCCTTACAATGACAACCAGTGTGGTGTAGTTAGAAATCTGGTGACAGTGAGAAAATTCCTAAACCCCTACAAAAATAAAATCCCCAACAAGATAAACTGTCCCGTCAATATAACATGGGAACAACACGCTTTAGAAATTAAAAACCCGTTCAATAGATCCGATCCTGGTTTTAACATACGACAAGCAGATGCAATTGCTGAAACTCTCAACATTGATTTAAATTACTTAACTGAAAATATTAAATATTTTACATTATCACGAGCTAAAGCAAGTTACGAGGATTTAGCCAGAGAATTAATAGAACGACCTGTTGACTTAGCTTTTGTTATCAGTGAGCAAGGATTAAATATGGGACCACAATTCGAATTTAGTATACCTCTATCCGAAGCATATGTCTATTTCGTACTTCCCCCAAGACAAAAAATTATGAGCAGTACTGCCACCCTTGTCATATTTTCGAACGAAATTTGGATCGGAATCGGCTCTTCTGTTGTTTTAATGACAATACTTTGGAAAAAACTAAGGCAAAAATCGCTACAAACATGTTATTTTGAAATGATTCAATTAGGTTTACAAGGGACTATAAACCAAATCCCTGTAAATAGTCTCGACCGAATTCTTTTGGCTTTCTTCTTCTTTTTTGTAATGAACTTAATCTGGATCTATGTAAGTCAATTAAGTGGAACGTTGAGTCAGCCAAGTTACGAACCAAAAATTTTGAATTTTGCCGATTTGGCCAAAAGTAACAAAAAATTAAAATTTGTGGATGTTATAACAAAGTTTCTCATTGGAAGACACTTTTATGATGACATAATGAAGAGAAGAGTTGAAAATCCGATAGGAATTACTTTTGACGAAGTAATGAAAGATTTTTTTGATAAACTGGAACATGGAATAACAATTAGTAACACTCAACTGAGTTTTATACGAAATTATCAAGAAATGCAATTGGTGTCTAATGAAAAAGTAAAAATAGATTACATAATGAATGTTATTTAATAACAATTTTGTAGATCATCACTTTTTATACATTTCTAGTGATGAAAAAAGGTTTTCCCCTTTTAGGCATTATAAACGGCGCAATTCTTAGAATTATAGAAAGTGGCCTATTGTCAAAATGGATGTATGAAGCTCAAATCAATATTAAAAAAGTAACTCTCCCCAATTACAAAGAATCACCTGATTCTGGTTTGGACTTAGAACGCGTCTTCAGTGCTTTCGTCCTGTTGGGTATCGGATTACTATTTTCTATTGCAGTTTTCATATTTGAATTTAAGGTTTATAAAAAAAAAATAATTTTATTTTAAATCAAAACAAAAACTTTATTTTCCACAAACTGAAATATCACATCACAAGTTTTTAATCATTTTTAAAACTATATGAAGTCTGACATGATGAAGTCTCATGAATAATAACTTTTTATTATTTTATTTTTCAAAAATTTATTTATCTACTGGAATTCTTAAAAAAAATAACTGTTTTATTGTTTATTCAATTTTAAAAATTTTTGTGACGCTGAAAACCTAAAGAGAGTTTAGTCTTTTTCGTAATATTAGGGATTACAAAATTAAGATAATGTACTCGTATGTTTGGTTGCCAACAACGTTAAAATTTTGATTGCAGTCCACTTTACATTTTTTTATACTAAATT